TCCCAAAAGTCAATTAATACAAGCTACTTGTAGGTATCATTAGTTGCATCATATAAAACAGCCTATTTCCCACTGGGAATACTCATGAGCTATAGTGCAACAACACATTCACTTCATTCACTTCACATTTTGCAATAATGTGTAGTGTGCAAGATGTATAGTTTATGGTAGGACCCGGTTGGACCCGTCAGAAAATTTCCAGGAACCGGTCTGGACCCATATGGGTCCAGACTGGTTCTTTGGACCGGGTCCTCGGGTCTACATTTTGCCACCTCTAGCTCGGACCATATCCAAGTCGGAGGTGCCAGGCGGGGAAATCGGGGCTGATCCAGCGTTTTCAGTCTGGGTGCTGTTCGCGGCATTACGGTGTGTCCTAGTCAGGGCTGGTTGGTACTGGCCCTGCTCGTCGACTGGTCGATGGCGATGAAGGTAATGAATTTCTGGATCGTGTTCCATAATCCCTCACCTCATGTTTATAACTTTTCCCGCTGACCGGAGACATCTCTGCCCTGTCAGGACGTGCTGTCAGTCCAGGAGCGCGAGCTGAAGCTGCGGTTCGAGATGGCACACGAGGACCGCCTGCGCGACGAGCGACAACAGTATCAGTCAGAGCTGGCTGTGGTGATGGGAGAGCTTAAGGGCCTCAAGGACGCCATCACAGGTGTGTACGTGGGGGAGACGCCGACGTAGACCTTAGCGGATCGTCGTCATCGAACGAGCAGGACAGGGCCTTGCATGAGAGGGGTTATGCTGACCAGAGAGGAGACAGCGTGTTTGCAGTGTTCCCTGTGATTGGTCGCTTCGGCCGATTGCGGCGCTGGGTAGTTAGGAAAGAGTGGTCGACACCACAATGTTTGACGTTATTTTGTTAGAAGTGATCAGTATACTTTCTTGAATTTCTCTGGGTGCTGTTTGCAAATCGGTTCTCGCTCCCTGCCTCTAAATATCGATGTGTGCAGCTGTCAGACTGTTATTATCTGTTTCATCGGACCTCTTTCTCACCCCGCTCCCCTCCGTCAGCGCGCGCCGACCTGGACCGGGCGGCGCACCACGCTCAGGAGATGTGGGTCTCGTGCCAGGCGCTCAAGCAGGCCATCCGCACGGGCCAGCTGGGCGCTGCCTCGTGGCAGCAGCAGCTAAAACCGCTGCGGGACGAGGCGGCCGCCATCCGACAGGTGGCAGGTATGTGGGGAAGAGGGAGAGTGAAGGACCGGCCGGAGAGAGGGCTGGTGGGCTAAGAGGAAGGGGTGATAGTGCTTGTAGTTTCAGGTAAAAACCTCATCGGATTAGTGTTCCTTGATTCCTAATGACGAATACCAATCCGTAGCTGACGCCTATTTCGCGACATCTTAGTTTTATTTATTTTTTCTTTGGTTCATTTATAAAATCGTTCCTAGGCATTTTTTTTTATAAATTTAGTCCGAACCTTTTGATGGGAAGGATTCACAAGGACAGAACCACCGCTAAGCGAAGCTTGTTGCGATGACCCTGCCCTCTACCCTCCGATCGCGCAATTCCGATTCTATGGCAGAATTTAGAGTCCAAAGTTTAACGTGCGCACAAAGCCGCGCACGGCCGGTCCCCTCACTGACTTCGCCTGGCTACGGCCTGCCACCAACCGCAACCATACCTGTCAGGAGGCTCATAAATGTCGAGCGCCCGTCGCGCTTCGAACCCGGACTGTCATAACCGGGAACGCGTGCTCTCACCACGCGGAGTCCAACGCTCTAACCAACTGAGCTACGGGACCGGCTCTATATAATTTTTGTCCGAGTTATAGTCCTCTATATAGTCGGGCAATAGTCCTCTATATAATTTTTGTGTGGATGAGATAGCCCGGTTTACACCAAGATCCAATTATTATCAGACTTTCTGCACACTGCGACCGTCATCACTGTCTTTATGGTTCATACACCAATGTCGTCTGGATCGGACGATATTCCACCAACCCAAACCAGTTATGCTGAGCCACTGCTAACTCGTGATTGCTGACCGGCCTGTACTGCTAAGCCGTTGCGATTGCTGACCCTGTGTGCCCCCCCCCCCCCAGGCGAGTCGAACCGTTTCGTGAGCGCGGTGCTGGATAACCTGCCGGAGGTGGTGCTGGAGCGCGGCGTCTACACGGAGGACGCCCTCCGAGAGCGCTTCTGCAAGGTGGAGCGGCTCTGCAAGCGGGTCAGCATGATCGACGACGAGGGCGGCAGTCTGTTCAAGTACGCCCTCAGCTACCTGCAGTCGCTGCTGGTGAGTTTAGAGCGCCGGGGGAGGGGGAGGGGGTTAGTGGGTGGCTGTTTATTTGGGTGAGATGTGAGCCAATGCGGTGCAGGGAGCTCGGTGTATTCTGTTCGTTGGCCTCCGATCGTTATCCCTGGTCCGATCGTTATCTGATCGTCCGTAAGAGAGACATCGGCATTTATTTGTACAGACATTAATTATCGACATTTACTCCCGTCATTTGGTACAATAAAGCCTTGAGAGCTGTCCTGTCTGCAGTTTACTCTCTCGACATGAATCCTGTTGACTATGTCAGTACCGTGATCGCTGGTCTGTCTGCGCAGGTGGTCGATGCCTTTGAGCGACTCCCCAGCAAAGAGCAGCGCGATGAACCAATCAACCCCAAGCAGCTCAACACGTACGAGATCATTGCACGCGCCAGGTAAGGAACACTTTCATCCGGAACTTTGGAAATGAAATTGTATTTTTATCTCGAGCTTATCTTGGGTCAAAAATAATCGCGGATGTCATTCGTCGTTATGGATTATTTGGCTAGCCGAGCGGTTCTTAGCATGCTGTGTTTACACTGTGATTGCTTCGTTTTTTTTGGGGGGGTTAGGCCCTTTCGGCCTGACAAGACCATTTCAGAGCCGGAAGGATGATGGGAATTAGGGGGAAACATTGGTCTGGGCAGACACCCTAAAGAGTCGCCGGGACTGAGCCCGTCCGAATGGACAGGCCGACCAGCCCCCCAAGCACTCTGCACCCGGCTACGGGGTGCGCTCCCTCGGGAGCAGCGGTGCCGCTCCAAGGGAGCAGACCGCATGAGATAAAGGTGCCTGCCCAGCCCGGAGCGGGGGTTGCGGCGTGGAGGAGCAGGATTTCAGTATCCTGAGGATAGAAGCGACGGAACGGAGCTTCGGCTTATTTGGCTTTCAATGTATATGCTTTTATCGACCTTGTGCTGTATGCACCTCAGAACATAACGCAAGCCATCTCTGTTCCATGCAATAAAACGATTCCCTTGTCCGTTTTCCCGGCCTCAGGTACTGTATCGACAAGGACGACCTGATCCAGGCGGTCAAGTACATGGGCCTGCTGCGCGGCGAGCCCCGCCTGGTGGCCTCCGACTGGATCCGCGAGACCCGGCTCCTGCTGGAGGCCCGGCAGGCCGCCGACGCCCTGCTGGCGCACGCGGCCGCCACCGGCCTACAGGCGCTCTAGGGAAGCTTTAGTTGCGGTGCTCGACGCTAGATGACAGTACGCGCGCGGCGCGACTGGCGGGATGTTTGAAATTGGCTGCTGCTGTGGTGGCTCGCCCGCGAAGGCGAGGCGCCGAACAAGTGAGTGAGGCGGGCGATCGAGAACGGCTTGTGATTGTCCGTGGCGCTGGAAAGGCGGCCACGGGCGAGGTTACGGGAGTGCGGGAGGAACCTCAGAAAGAGAGCGTAGGGCTGTACCCTGCAGTTTCCAAACAGATGAAGATCACTATTGTTCGATATTGTTTGTACATAGCGCGAGTGGTGCCTGTTGCTCTGTGTGCCGGGGCGCGGTGGAGCGGCACTCGTTCAGGGTGTGCCACAGGGTCCTGCTGCCCACCGTGAACACCGGACGCCGGACCGACCGCGGCGCGTCTTTATGAGAGCCGTATGTGAGAGTGGTACGGTCAGACAACTGCCAGTAATACATACTGGATGTGCAGCTGTCTCGATTTGGTCCGGTTTGGTGGCAGTGGCGCGATACGCTGATTTCATGAAGGGTCAGTTTACAATCTGTCATACTTCACAGGCATTTGATGAATATTTTCAACTGAGCTAGAAATTTCACCATTAACTATTTTAGAAACAAATCTTCTCTACCTACTTATTTATAATTCATAAAGAGGTTCATTTTCAGTTAATTTTAAACTCATATTCTACCGCAGCGGAAAACACGATCCTATCAGTTTACAGTTACCATGGCGCCGCAGCTCGGAGGCGCTACCGCTTTTATGCTGTCGTTTATGACCTGCCTAAAACCTATAGGTATCTTCTTTTCGCCTCAGAGTGCTGATCTCTGAAAGAAGTGCACTCATCGGCCGAATCGTGATCTTGATAAGTGATTATGCTGTGGCCGAGAAGTGCTCTTTTTGTGCTCTGCCGACAATGTGTCGAAGTCATTTCCCCGCAGAGAAGCTTCGCGAAGTCGATTTACAAGCTCGCAGACTTAGGGGGAAAGAACCCAAAATTTCCAAGCAACCTAATCACGGCAAGCAAATCTGCTGAGCGGATGACGTGCGACGGCACAGTATAAAATATCGGGGTAAGCATTGCGGCGCAGCCTACCTTCAGGCGCCGACGGTGCTACCATCTATTGAGTACGGTATGAAACATGGCGTGCACTGCGGCACAGCCTACCGTCAGGCGTTGATGCTGCTGCCATCTAGCGAGAGAAGTATGAAGCACATGCTTTGCACTCTACTTCTGCACATTATCAATCTTTGATTGAAAGAGATACAAAACGCAAACGTCTTTCAGAGGGACATTGTCAGTTATTATGATGTGCAATAGGACAACCAACCATTGTTGGTCGTCTGACTCGGTCGCCTGTTTCTGTCTTATCGCAAGTTCACCGAACCCGCGATGTTTGCCGTGCTTACAACTCAAACACACCTTATCGGCTGGAGCGCCCACATCCGTCCACCAAGCGGCGTCCCGTCAGTTCCGCCGTACGCGTCATTTTTTCACCACTCTGCCCACTGCTTTGTCAGCGCATCGCCCAGAACGTTGGCCCGAAAAACCCTGTTTATGCTTTATGGCGGTGGCGTTTTTCACACAATCTCTGTTGAATCAGCTAAACATTTTAACCGCATAAGACCGCCACCACTCCACTGTGCGGCGGAGGGGTCGATAAGGGGTGTTACCACCGCGTCCGCGGCTCCCCGGACGACGGCGCACCAGTGCCGGCCCGGACAGGGACGGTGCCGGGTGCAGTACGTGGCCGTTCTCTGCCGTAGCAACGCCCGCCCTCCACTATAGCGTATCGGTGACCTTCAGACTGCACAGCGAGTGGTGTGCGATCGGGTGACTCTGCCGGGCTACTGCGTCATTCATGAGAGACCGCTGTTGGCTGTGAGTTTGCAATAAGCCTTTGATCGAGTGGTGAGGACCATCAGACTGGGTGTTGGTTAAGTTGAGTGGAAATCATTTGAACATGCCATTTCCCGTGTGTGTATACGGGAGGGGGCTGGTGGTGGCATTTTTGACTCTCATCACCGTCGTTACCGTCTCCAGCGCCGCCGATGCCGGTCCCTCCCAGCCTCCCAACATTGTGCTGATCGTGGCCGACGATCTGGGCTGGAACGACGTGCCGTGGCACAACTCGCTGGTGCGCGCGCCGACGCTGGCGCGGCTGGCGGCCGACGGAGTGACGCTCGAGCAGGCGTACGTGCAGCCCATCTGCACGCCGTCTCGGTCCGCGCTGCTCACGGGGAGGTACCCGTTCACCTTGGGCCGGCAGCACGACGTGCTCTGGCCGCTGCAGCCCACCGGCCTGACCCTGGACACGCCGCTGCTCTCGGAGAAACTCCGCTCCGCCGGCTACCGCACACACGCCGTCGGCAAGTGGCACCTGGGCTTCTGCCGGCGGGCGTACACGCCCACAGAGCGCGGCTTCCAGTCGTTCCTGGGCTTCTGGACGGGCTCGGAGAACTACTACACGCACTGGCGCGGTCTGGACGAGGGCGGCAGCGGGCTCGACTTCCGGCGCAACATGAGCGTAGCGCGCGAGTTCGAGGGCCGCTACTCGTCGGAGGTGTTCGCCGCAGAGGCGGAGCGGGTGATCGAGACGCACCCGGCCGACCGGCCGCTGTTCCTCTATCTGGCCTTCCAGAGCGTGCACGCGCCGCTGCAGGTGCCGCGCCGCTACTGGGACCTGTACCCGGGCGTGCGCGACAAGAGCCGGCGCACCTTCCTCGGCATGGTCTCAGCGCTGGACGACGCCGTGCAGCGCGTGGAGAGCGCTCTGCGCGGCGCTGGACTCTACGACAACACGGTCATCATCTTCACCGCAGACAATGGCGGTCAGGTGCTGGCCGGAGGGAACAACTACCCGCTGCGGGGTAACAAAGTCACCCTGTGGGAGGGCGGCACGCGCGCCGCCTCGTTCGTCCACTCGCCGCTGCTGGAGCGGCCGCGACGGGCCAGTCGTGCGCTCATCCACGTCACCGACTGGTTCCCGACCGTGCTGCGGCTGGCCGGAGCGCCCCAGCCCACTCCGGAGGACCGGCTCGACGGCGTGGACCAGTGGGACGCCATCTCGCGAGGCGAGCCGAGCACGCGCTCCGAGGTCGTCTACAACATCGACGTCGAGAAGAAACCGGGCGCGGCGATCCGCGTCGGCGACTTCAAGCTGATCTGGGGCTATCCGGGCAGCAAGAACGACTGGTACCCGGAGCCGGGCATCACCGAACTGTGGCCGCTGGTGCCGACCGAGCTGGCGCCGGCCCGCTACACAGAGGTCGGCGAGCACCGCTGGTCCGGCAGCAACACCACCTGGCTGTTCGACCTGGCCTCCGACCCGACCGAGCACGTCAACCTGGCCGCGCAGCGACCGGCGCTGGTGGCCGAGCTGAAACACCGTCTGCTGCGGCACCGACGTCGGCTGGTGCCGGCCGACTGCCCGCCCGATGACCCGCGCGGCAGCCCGGATAACTTTGGTCACGTTTTTGTCACCGGCTGGTGTGAGCCAGGCGTGCCGGCGAAGACCCAGTTGGACAGCTTTTATAATTTCCTTGTCTGAGGTAGTGATTTAACATGTGACATAATGCCTGATTATCTCGGTCTGGTGGAATGAGAATTGGGAATAATAAAAAGGCTAAACGATACCATTTTTTTCAGTTGTGAATAAAGAACGCCCATCAAACTTGATGCCGAGCGCGGCAGCTGATTCGCTTAGAACTAATGACGTCACTAGTAATCCTTCAGCACAAGTCTTTTGCAAAGTTATTTATTCACTGAAAAGCTGACGTAAACAAACCGCTGCGACGAGGAGTGAAGATTGGAAAACTGTCATTCGCTCCGGAACTGTAATATTTATTGTTAATAATGGTGCTTTCGCATTTTTTGTGACTGAATTATAAAGTTTTTCTGTCACATGGAATGAGCAAATGAGGGCTTTGGTCGATTTCTATCCAATTTACCTGGCTTTACCCCTGCGCCGCAATTGTCGCAATTCAAACGTGCTTGTCGTATGCTATGCTTAGGTGCTTATTTAACATGAAATATTTTGCCTTGCATGAAGCGCTCACATAAACCTATTTGCTTTTGCTATTTGCTTTTATTGAAATTGAATATTCTGATCAGTTTAGTACTTAACCCGGCAGTTGCTGGGGTATTTCGCCACCCACCGTTTGCTGGGGGGGGGGGGGGGGGCCCGACTGGAAAAAATGCACGCTTTTGTCGAGAACTCGAGCGTAGTTGGGCGTTTGCGCCGAAAATTTTCGGCGTACTTCGGCGTAAATCGACGGCTTGCGCCGAAATTTTCGGCGTACTTCGGCGTAAATCGCGAAAAAAAACGTCCGGGGGGTGGCACCAACCCCCCCTCGGCCGGCGAGGGTTAAATGTCTTCGGGAGTTAAACATCTTAAATATCACTTATCTTGTCTCGTGTTCGTCTCAGGGTATTTAAGTCATGTTCAGTGAACCTGATTGCGACTCTCCCACGGCGGGAACAGTTCACCGATCCAGAGTGAGGTTATGGATTGTCGGATTCCCTAGTTCAGATAACGTATGCTATCGTGTGCGTATTGACCGTTGTGATTCCTGTATCTCCGGCGTGTGGTTTGTGAGCGGACGCTGGCAATCGGTCCCGCGTGGCCTGGGCCCTGGTATCTGCCCGATCCCATCGGCCGTGCTTGCACCACGCCTGTTGAAGGCCCCGTCAGGCGTCAGTCACCGGCTGGGCACTACTGCTGATCAGAGCCGGGCAACAAAATAAAGGTTACGTTATGGAACACGCCAGTGAGTTTGTGAGTCAGGAGATTTTGTGATAGCGAACCCTGGTGCTCGGTCCCGCATGGCCTGCTGATGTCTTTTGTCTGCCCGATTCCGTCGACCGTGCCAACAACCGTCTGTAGATAGTAGTCACTGGAAGACAGTCACACACACACGCCAGCCCCCCCCCTCGACGAAAAGTGCGTGGCTACAGCCTGCAGCCATCAGTAAGCCTTGAAAATTTTCGGCGCATGAAGCATGGCTTGGTAAAATAATTTCGGCGCATAAACCCTTGCGCCGAAATTTCGGAGCATCACCTCCGCCGAGAACTTCAGCGTAGTGGAGGCATTTTTTCCAGTCGGGGGGGGGGGTTAAACGCCCCCAGCCGATAACTCGAGAACCAATAGGCGCAGCGAAACGCACGAGGCGGCAAACGAAAGAACGCGACAAGACGCTTCTGATGAGTACTTTAAAGTTGAATTTTGAGGTCACAGGTCGGGTCAAGGTCAGGTCAACACCTGAAATCGGGCTTTCAGTAGCATGGACCTCAGGACTTCGCAATGGGCGCCTCTCGTCAGAAACTCTGTCAAAACGGTGCACAATCCATCATATAAGGCCATCATATAAGACAAGAGTGTCAGTTCCATGTAGGGGTCAGTCAAGCATAGGTCAGGGTCAAGGTCAGGTCAACCGGTTAGGCACATATCCCCGAAAATCAAAACTGATATTCGCATCCTAGGACACATGTTTTATGGGTAATTTGGGCCGTAGAACACGATGGTGACATTCATTTTATCATATGTGAACGAGTTTGGCTCAAAAAGTTCAATTTAAGAAATTCATGTATCATGGTCGCGAAGTAGTCACGAGAAATTGTCAAGATTCAGTTAAGATTTTGGAAAATGTGGAAGGATAAGCAATAATCGAAGATAGCCATTTGATTGTTCATGGTATTGGCATTCTAATGGCGTTTACGGCATGTCTGTATGTATATTCTGTGATTTTATATGATTTTTTGATCATATGCCGTTTTTGGTCAAAACTTCAGAAATCATGACGTCACTAAAACCTCGATATCTCAAAAATTTTCCGACCAATTTTTTGAAATTTTGTCACAATAAACTTCAATCAATTCCCTACAGGTACCCAAAATTTGGCGTGCCTGCGGCGCGCCATTTTTTATGCTATGGCCCAGCGAAAAAAGTGGGGGCGTTTAACGCCCCCCCCCCAGCAACTCGCGGGTTAAAACAGCAAGGAGAAGTGGGATTATCTCGGAAGAAAGCTTCAGATAGTTGAAATGAGAAAACCATAAATTGTAAATGTGTGGTTCTCTACAGCATCAGCCATGGATTGTCTGGTACTGTAATTTTTTTATAGATTTTAAGAATTGGTTCAACACTTAACATCTTACAAAAAATCAAGGTGAAACTGAAATGGATTTGCATCACGTCTGTAAATGATAAATGGCCTGCTCAGTTGAGGCCCTTTTCACTCCATCTCTGAATGCTTTCCAGGCATGATTTAATGCTAACTGGTGCACTGTCAACCATTACATTTTCTTAAGTCACACAGGCTTAGCAAAGCTAGAAATTAGGAGCTTGCCTAGGTTGGACTTCCACCGGCTGTACACTTCATGGCCGTAAAATACTGTTATCTTTAGGTAAGGCAAGGCTAGACGTCAGGCTAGAAATGCTAGAAATTAGTAGATAAGTGTTAATCTGCACCCATACCTAGGTAAGTAGTTACCTGATAAGTAGTTTGGTACCGGAGTGAGTAGGTATCTGGTAAGTGGTAAGAATGCTAGCAAGGTATCTGGTCTTTTATAGTCAGTGGGCTGTCTCTGATGCATCATCAACTTGGTAAGGACTCAGTCTAGTTCTGCAGCTCCACATAGCACCATGGATTGCTCTGCTCCACACAGGCACCGACTACACAAAATACCCCATGGAAAGTAGTAATTATCACTAGGAATCATTTGAATAAGGGTCAATGATTACATTAATTACACCAAGTCATGACTCTGATTCTTCTTCCAGGTGCTTAAAACTTGTGCAAGCAACTGAAAACAATCATGCTGAAGGCAGTCATCCTCATTGGTGGACCACAAAAAGGTATGTAAATTTTGTAATGGCAGTTTCAGACTGTGGTTATGTGATCATTCAGTGCCCAGTGGTATGATTTTACAATGAGCCTGTCTACTAAATCCTCTCATCTAAAGTATGTGTGTCTGTCGGCAGGCACCCGGTTCCGGCCGCTGTCGCTGCAGGTGCCCAAGCCGCTGTTCCCGGTAGCTGGCCGGCCGGTGATCCAGCACCACATCGAGGCGTGCGCGGCCGTGGCCGGGCTGCGCGAGGTGCTCATCCTGGGCGCGTACCCTGCGCAGGAGCTGCAGCAGTTCGCTGCCGAGATGGCCGCCCGGTACGGGGTGGCCGTGCGCTACCTGCAGGAGTACGCGGCGCTGGGCACCGCCGGCGGCCTCTACCAGTTCCGCGACCAGATCCGCGCCGGCGGCCCAGACGCCTTCTTTGTGCTGAACGGGGACGTGTGCGGCGACTTCCGGCTGGACCGACTGCTGGCGTTCCACCGCGAGCGGCCAGCCGACGCGCTGCTCACCGTCATGGCCACCGAGGCCACGCGCCAGCAGTCGGTCAACTTTGGCTGTATCGCCGAGGACCGCGCCACGCACGCGGTGCTGCATTACGCCGAGAAGCCCGAGACGTTCGTGTCGACGCTGATCAACACGGGGATCTACATATGCAGCAGTGATATTTTCCAGCAGATCGGCACCGTGTTCAAACGGAAACAGGAGGAAATTTACAGGTGGGTGGAGCGCTGCTGTTTTACGGGCGGCATTGTTAGGAATATGACATCGCGTGTGCGCAACTTGTGTTGAGGTTCTTAGAATCAATACAGTGATGGACAATTTTGAAGTTGAAAGTGCCGTTGAATTTTAATTTAACTGAATGCGCATTTCGTATAGTAAAGTTTACTGATGTTTACGTTGTGCGGTGTTACGGAATTGTCAGTACGAGATGCTGGTTGACGTCTCACATCATTATGTGAACATATTGCTGCAGCATATGCGCTTCTTGGTACTAACTCCCATATCTAACCGTTATTCCCCCTGCCTGCCGCAGCGCCGATTTTGAGGAGGGCCCTCCGTCCGAGACCATCAGTCTGGAGGTGGACATCCTGGCGCCGCTGGCCGGCTCCGGCAGGGTGTTTGTCTACCAGACCTCGCGCTGGTGGAGTCAGATAAAGACGGCCTCGGCAGCGCTCTACAGTAACCGGCACTACCTGAAACTCTACCGGGAGAACGGGGTGAGTGCGCGGGAACGGGCGCCAGAGCAGTCGATACCGCTTTAACTCTCAGATAGAGTGTGAGGGAATATTGGATGCGACATTTGACTGAGATCTTAGGTCATATGATATATCGCAAATTAACGCCGAGTTATCAATGAGTGGAAGCACACATAACGGTGTGCCTTGCTTTGCATGACGATAACATTGCCCACAAGTATTTCACTGACCTTGTGACCTTGATTTGGTGGATAATGCTGAAGATAAACACCGTCCTCTGTCAATCAGTCCGTGTGTCTCCCACTATCTGTTCCTGGGCGCAAAATGACCTTGTAGTCGGCGCGCCCTTAAGCCCCAATGAACAAACAACAGCACTATCTGTTCCCGTGTCTGACCCTCGGCCTCATGCCGCGCTCACCAGGCTCCGCTGGCAGAGGACGGTAAGCCGTGCACCATCATTGGTGACGTGTGGATACACCCGACGGCCACCATCCACCCGACTGCCGTGGTGAGTGGAACGGGACGGTGCCGGTGGTAACCGGCCGGAGCGGGGCAAAGACATGTGGGTTAACTTACGATGCTGTTGACTGGGGAAGACTTTCTACTCGAGTGAAACATTTATTGTATATTGGGTTATACGGATAGACTTATACAGACAGTGAGTTGTCATGGCTCAATCAATCCTGTTAAATAGAGTATGGTGCAGCTTTCCTCTGGATTATTTCTAATATTTCTCCACCGTCCCTTCCCAGCTGGGCCCCAACGTCAGTGTGGGCCGGAACGCCGAGGTGGGCGAGGGGGTGCGCGTCCGAGAGTCCATCGTGCTCGGCGGCGCGCGCATCCGCGAACACTCCCTGGTCCTGCACTCTATCCTCGGCTGGGACAGCGTGGTCGGAGCGTGGTCACGCATCGAGGGCACCCCGTGCGACCCGGACCCGAACAAGCCGTTCGCCAAGATGGATAATGTGCCGCTGTTCAATGGGGACGGCAAATTGAACCCCTCCATCACCATACTCGGTACGTGCTTACATAGGATGGTGTGGGTTTGCAAGGGTTGATTTTCTAGGGTCCGTCGTGTTTGTCGACGATGCTTGTTGCTAACTGTTCATATTTGAGCTGCAGCAAGCTTAATTTCCGCCTGATAGCTGACCGGCGGTGATCTGATCTATGTTCGGGCGCATTACCCTCGCCCGCACATGGGGGGGGGGGGGGGTGGTTGCCACCGCCCAGGTAGTCTTTCTGCTCTGCACTCAACATTTTTAGAGCTAGAAGGCTGATTTTTCGTATAGCTGCTCCTCTATCCTTTCTTGATGTCCACTAAAAATTTCAAGTTTCTGTGACTTTTGGTTTCGGAGATATGACCTTGTTTTTCAGGTCATGTCATGACCCAAATGGCCAATTCTCGACATCTTGCGTTGGCTATGGGCCTTGTGAGCTTTTGACACCTTGATTTCGGCCTTTTTTACCAGTCTTACCTCCCACCTATCATGGAACATGTTGTTCGACGATGTACAGATGTCAAGGTCAAGGTCAAGGTCAACCTAGGTCATCTAAGATAATTGCGTTTTAGGCAAGCGGAGTTTACTTTTTGTGAAGTTTTTTGACTGCATTTTTGGTAAAAGCTTCTCAGATCATGATTTCATGTAATATGGACACAAACAATCGGTGCACACATCAGTATACACACAGACACACACAGACATACAAACACATATAATTGACCTTGACCTAACTTGACCTGAAATGACCTCAGCAGCAAAAACCTGGTCGGGTAGTGTGAGAAAGAGGTTCTAGCTGGCTTGGCACCAGAAAACGGCATCGTCATCGGTATATGATAAGCAGCGCACTTGATATCAAATAGAGTTGCAAAGTTTTCCCAATGGGCTGCTACCGGCACCGCCCCGCCCCACAAAAATTTTCTGGGATACCGGCATGCTACCACGCCCCAAGCAAAAAAACCGCCAATTTACCGGCATACCGGTAATTTGGCGGTATGAATTTTAATACGGCATATGGAACTTTTACCACAAAATGTATTTTGCAGTGGCTAAGATTGCTGTTATTACAATTCAATAGCCTCTTAGTGTCCAAAGTTTGAATCATATGCTGATAATTTTTTTGTGTGCAAAATCAAAAACACCGGCATGCTACCGGCAAGACATGCCAGATACCACGAAAAAACCTGCGGTAGTGAAAAATTACCGGCATGCCGGTAGTGCGGTAGGGAAATTTTGCAACTCTAATATCAAACGGTGACCCAAAACAGCAACATTTTTTAGTTTGACCTGACCTGAAAGGTCAATGACTGACCTGAGAAGGTAAAACTGGGTAATGGGTATCATTGGATTCGTCTCTTCCCTAAGAATCTTTTTGGTCTTTACCGCTAAGCTCTATCTCCAACAGGAACGAAATGTCGCGGGGGGGGGGGGTGGCACCATGTGCGTTCTAGGATGGGAAAATGGCATGTGCGGGCGAGGGTTAATGTTAACCCAATTTCAGATCTGCTGTGTCACAATTCGTTTTTTTTTTACTACTGTAACCTCTTGATTCCTCTGAAACCCAATTTCACTTCTCTCCGGCCCGCACAGGGTGTAACGTGAACGTGGCCTCAGAGAAGATCGTCCTCAATTGCATCATCCTGCCGCACAAGGATCTGATGCGCAGCTACAAGAACGAGATCCTCCTCTAGCCACCGCGCGGACCTGTCGTCGGCTCGGGGTTACAATGGAGGCCCGTCTTAGAGTTGGTGGGGAACAGGGTGTGATACGAATTGCTACAATACAGCCGGTGCCGCAGCCTCATGAGCGGCTAGTGAACGAGTGGGGTGTTGGTGCCGGCAAGGCAAGAACTGATTGTGGTGAGGTTGTGATGCTGATTAGCGATTTAGTTTTTCATGAGACAAAGGTTCACAATCACCACAAACAGTACGTAAAAGACATGCCGCGTGCCATTGGATGGATGGTGGTGCGACGTGGCAGTGTCCTGGCCGCAATTTTCGCGGCGTGAATGGGCATCTAGGTTTCCCAGCTTTGTTATAACGCTGAACCGAGTAAAGTAGTACGATGAGAGACTGTCGGTCAGTCTGTGCATCATCTACGCTGTTTTCCTGAATTTACCTGTGGTCAGTAAAGTTTGTTAGTTTCTGGCCGTCCAGTCGGCTCTTGAATTTCTTCGTACTAAGAGAAGTGGTATACGGTGAGGATTCAGCGCTGAGCCGTGATCTGTCCTGAGTTTAAATAGAGTATCGTCTGTGCCGCGCCAGTTGAGAAGATTTGGAGTCTGAAGGGGGTAAACGACGCATGAATTTAGGCGGGAGACTTCGGGATTTCTGAGTTTGTTGTTAGCTGGCCTTAGATCAAGTGGCGGACCTTATCGTGCGTTGGACGTCCTTTTTTGTAGACACGGAGCTGATAGGGTTGTAAGCGGTGTGGCGCACAGTGTGGCGAAGTATGCCGTCCATCCGGGGGTGGGGAACAGTGGTGACCCTAGGGGGAGGGAAGCAGCATGAGGGTTCTGCGGGACAAGTGTGAAACTATGGCCGCTGTTTCTCGATGTTACGTGCTGGTGCTTGGTGGCTGGTGACTCCTCAGTGCTCTCATTTTACCTATATATTTCGCCGGCGGTTTGGCCCGCTGTATCATCGTCATTCATCTATCTCACAGTGCAATGATGAGTTGTGCCTGAATACAGAGTGTGCTTGGTAAGATATGTCTGTATTTGCTGTACGAAGATACAATGCCGATCGGAGCACAATCGTTCACTCGAACACATCTACAACTGCGAGGGTTTCCACCCCCACAGGCCGTTTGGTATCGTGATCCCTGCAACTGCACACGCTCGGCGCAGACACTGAGGCAGCGAAGTCGGCGGCGGGTCGCGCGAAAATGAGGCGAATTATCGGTGAGATCGGGACGGGTCGGTCCGTTCGACAGTCGACCGGAGAAGCGGTTCGCGTCAGTCGGCTGTGAGTTAAAGTTAGCTTGTCACTCGTGATTAATCATGCCCAGAATCGCTACGTGGTATGCCCTCTTATCGGCTACAACAGCAAACATGTTTTGCCGGTCTGAGCAGATACAAACCCGCAAACACTTCACAGCCAACGGCGGGCGGGTCCGTCTCGCTCGCACAGCCGCAACTGTTCACCCGGCGGGATAATTGGTAAACCTCGCTATATAGCCTTCCCACAATATCATCAGCATTGAACACAAAGAAGCACACCAATGCAAAGCGGGTGGTGCGAGCGATTGCTAACCGCCGCAGAAACACAAACACGTAGAGAAGGCAAGACACGGCGCGAACTCGGCTATAATATCAGAATGTGTCGCTCACTCCTCCACTTGGCCGCTGTGCTGGCGATGGTTCAACTGCTGGCAGGTGCAACAGAACAGTCGAGGCGGCTCGATGGTTCACTGGGGGATGGTCCAGGTCCAGTCCCGGGTCGCCACAGCAACTACTGGGCCCAGCCACCACCGACGGATGGCGACAGGTCCCTCCGATCTGTCCGCCCCGCCCCGTACCAGTTACGGCCGGGTCTTGCACTCATCCACAGGCCGGTCGACTATGTTCGGTGGTCCAGTTGGACCCATCCGAGAAACACCGTAGGCGCACAGTCGTACGGTTCCGTCAAGCCGTAGACGCTTCGATAGGTTCGGTCCAGCTCACTTGAGAAGCCGGTGATAGTCTCGACATCTGCGTCAACTTCTCCGGAGCACTGCAGCCAACAGTTCATCTCGGTGAGCCATATCACAGCCGGTGGGAATTCCAGCCCCGTAGGACGCCCTCGCAGCCGTTCGGGCGCCTTTCAAATCTACAGCACTCCCTCGCAGTCGTCCAGCCCTACAGCACTCCCTCGCCGCCGTCCAGCCCTACAGCACTCCCTCGCAGCCGATGGCAGCTCCGTTGGTGACGGCGTGCACCACTAAATGCCGCCAGTGCTCGTCGGCAGCCAGGAGCTCCGGGTTTCCGATGACGATCAGCAGACACTTGGCTCGCGTGATGGCCACGTTGAACCGACGAGGGCTCTGTAAGCGAGAGAGGGGCAATGTCAGCGGCTAGGACCGGGAAAATTAACGGCGAACTACGACAGCCAATGTGGACAATGCTCTTGGGTAGAATACATAACCTGTTGACAGCCGCAGGTCTTCATGAAACACTCAATACAAAGAAACATTGCATCAGATAAGAATAGCGATAAGGTAATCAGGGCATTTTTTGACAACCTCAGATTCAGTCTCGATTCTCGATCAAAAGCCACAAACAGGCGAGAAGCGTCTAGCACAGGCCAGCCGACCGCCGCGCCCACCTGCATGAACCCGAGCCGGTAGATGACGTCGTGCTGCAGTGTGACGGAGGACGAGCGGACCGTGGTGAGCACAATCACCTCGCGCTCCTGGCCCTGGAATTCCTCCACCGAGCCCACCTGCACAGACAAGACACGGGAGCGCCGGGGAGAGGTGGCAGTCACGACCAGTGGAGTCGGGAGGCGGCGCTGAGGCCTGGGGGAAAGGTGTCGATTTCGGGATGATTATACCGCAATTTAGTTGGTTACTGGTTACCAGTTACAAGGATTTAAATTGTCCCTACATTTTAGTGCATATGCTGCACAAGTTCTGTGGAGATCGAGTCATAGCAAAATAGCTTGGAAACGACATTCGGGCGCTTCTGACTGGTGACAGTGGTCCAATGACGTCACTAATTCTCCCAGTCAACTACGGGCCGACCAGCGAATAGACCGGTCTGCCACGTACTGCGGCGTGAATCCGCTCCGAGGCCGGTGAAATGACAGGTAATAAATCACCCAAAACGGTCAGGAGACGCGACTCTGAAGACTTGTTAGAACAGGTTTATCCGGGTTAACTCTGGTAGCACACAGTCAGAAGAAAATTGCGCATAATCAAACTAACACCAGCCAGTAAATTCAATCCCAGGACCCAGATGAGAACAGCATTGCCAAAGTACGTGTATATGTCGACCAGTGGATACGGGGCTGCTCTCGAGTTAGGTAAGCTCTCGACCACTTACCTTGACCGTGGGCAGTCCGAATGTCGTCATGAGCTCCCTGATTTTCTCCGTCTGTTTTCTGTAGGGTGAGATGACGCCCACCTCGTCCCAGTCGACCCCGGCCGAGCCCAGTTTCTGCAGGTAGCGGATCACCTGACGTGGACGAACATAGAGAGTCAGATGCGGACATTCCCCTCATAACCGGAAAGAGTCTCATAACCCGTTTCATATCCATGCTGCTTTCAACTGTTCTATCTGATAATCAGGAAATAAATAAAACTGCTCTGATAAAGACAAAGTTTAAGATGCACGTAGAAGCGTACCATTTTGTTGTTAAACCAAATATGATGGGACATAAGATTTAAAATGAGACTAGCCAAAAATTGGCCAGCTCCGTTCATCGAATACACAAAACACTCCCGTAAACCACTTTTGAGTTCTGAACCTCGATTGACGACTAAAGAAAAGGCCAACCCCTTGCAAAAAGTTTGTTTGCTCCCAGTCCAGCTAAACTTTTACCGATCACGAGTCCCCCGATCTCGCGGCTGCCCCCCCCCCCCCCCACTGTATTCGGCCGGGCGTTATCCGTACCTGGAAGGCCTCTGTGGGGTTGAACCACGAGGGGCTGTCTCCCTCCTGGATGTTCTCCCCACGCACGCCGTGGAACAACATCGGGAACCCGGGCCGGGGCAGGAACGGCAGGCGGCACCACCTGTAGGTCAGACGGGTCATCGAGCGTCAGAGGAGGTCACCTAGGGTCAGGGGTCACAAAGGATGTCATGGTAGCAATGTAAGAGGAAGCTAATAGAAAGATCATCTCCAAGTGGTCAGATGACAGACGATACTACTAGATGGTCAGCAAGTGTGGAAAGGACGTGAAGTCAGCCGTCAGGGGTCATCCGCGAGGGGTCACACATCACCCCCTGACCTGTCATAGGTCAGCGTGGGCGCCCCGAGGTCTGGGGACCGTCAAGAGACCAGCGAGGACCAGACACTCGCAGACGGATGTCCGTCACAGACCAAACCGTATCGATCGGCGCGGCGGGTGGAAGCTGACCGATACTAGATCCGATGTTCGGGCCTCTGGCGAGTTTATTGCAGGGGCGCGGGAACTACTTTCCGACTGGGGGGGCACACCATAATAGAGATTAACCTAGGGTACCCCCAAATCTAGTTTTCTCACCGGTTTTAGGCCACTTATTTTTCACCCCTCGGCTTTTTCAACAAAAAAAGAAAACATTTGCAAAAAAAAGTGTGGAATTCCGTCTCAAAGCTGTGGGGGCACCGCCCCCACGGCCCCAGAGTTGGGGGGGCAGGCTGCCCCCACTGCCCCCCCGGCTCCCGCGCCTATGGTTTATTGATCCGCCGACCGTAATCTTCACAACAGAGGATGCCCTAACAACACCGCTATCTGGTTCTTATTGTAAAAGGCCACACCCTCGCACGCGCGCCGCCTTAGCTCAGTGGTAGAGCACTGGTCTCGTAAACCAGGGGTCGTGAGTTCAAACCTCACAGGCGGCAACGGTTTTTGGAACGAACGGGGTAAACCCCTTCCGAGCGGGCCGTTCCATAACGGAAGCAGGCCGGGAGACTCGGTAAACATTCCGGCTGTAGTTCTCAAATGCGGATCAATCGTCTTTGCAAGACAAAAATTGAGCACGCATCTTCCCGCCCCTTCCATCTCCCGTCCTCACTTGTTGGCCGTCTCCGAGTCGACGCAGGGCACCAGCTCGGAGTCGTAGAACAGCCGGGAGGGCACCGTCAGCAGCTCCCGGTGAGAGCGGTAGTTGTTCACCAGCTTGGTGACCTGGCAGGAGGAGAGAGGTTACCCCGTCAGAAGGGACAAGTTGCAACTCGAACTTATAACGCGGGTTGGGTCAAGCGATGAGCCTTCAGATTGTCATAGTCTCATTTTGTTAGCCAGAGAAAACTACCGGCCACAACTCAATACACAGCAATCAGGCACATGATATAACGGCTTCGTAATTGAAGTAACGAGTGATGGCCGAAAGCCCTAAACAATCAATCTCGAACAGCTCCGACGGCCCACAATTAGCGAAAATCACGTGTCTCTCATAAAAAGCTTATGCTATTTGAACTCCTCATAGCGAGCATTTTTCTCACCAGCAGTGGGTTGTAGCAGCCGTGGTCGGCGAATTTCTCAGTGTCCCGTCCGTACAGCTGCCTCAGCGACAGGCGCTCCAGCATCGAGGTCTGCCGGCGGGGCACAGAAGCACTCGGTGAGCGGACGGGTAAGTGAATAACAACACGAATACCAACGGTTACCACTAACATGGCGGAAACGGTTGATGGGTCACATTATACCTCAGTGTCTTTACCTTCAACTGAAAGAAATACTTGACTGAAGGCATTCACGAGAACCGGGCCGTGAATCAATCCATGGAGCGTCAAGTTAACATGGGGCCCCCAATTACTCCCCGGCTCCGGCCCGCCCGTCTCTCTGACCTGGAGTCCCCAGGCGGCGGCGTAGCGGCTCTGCAGCACGGGTCCCAGCTGCCGCGGGTCGCCGGCCAGCACTGCCTGGCCGTCCAGTGCCGAGACCAGCCCCAGCGGCACCAGAGTCTCCGGCTCCGTCATATGACCGGCCTCGTCCACAAACACGTGCGTGAAGTGGCCCTGGCGCAGACCGAGCCGGTACAGATTGCCGAGCGTGGCGGCCGTGCCGACGACAATGCGGCGCCGGGCGGCCGCCTCCAGACTGTCCCCGGACATGACGTACGGCTGTACCACCTCCGGGCAGCTGTCCTCCGACCTGCAGACATCGGGAGGGCGCCGTGAGCGCGCGGAGCGGACGCGACGCGGACAAGGTACGGCCAGGGGGGACGTACGGACACATCTAATGTTAAGTGCGGAAGTCATACGGATTCATGCGAAATATTACCGATTACTACTAGGCCAGACGTTAATACTATGGAGGATGGGGAGCGAGACACAACAAAGACGTTCACCTTTCATCGTCCTTTTATAACCGAAAAATTACTGACGACAATATCGAGAGAGCGGAGCTGTCGGAATCACCGCTCGACTCATTAGATCAAAGCACTAAATGTTACCATTCATCCACCTTTCAGATATTCGAGACCGAGAATGCCACTATTCCCACCCTCCCCGGTCCCTGAACTGAAGGGCTTCCCCGGATCTCGGTACCCTCAGACTTCTGCCTCACCTGTTGAACGATGTCAGCCGCGCCAGGGCGGCGCGGTGGACGGCCCCGCTCGCGTGCAGTCGCTCCGTGATGAGGTCGGCCGCGCTGTTGGAGGGCGTGGCCACCAGCAGGCGACTGTCCGCGCACATGGTGTACGTCTGAAGGATGCACTCCACCATAGTCACCGTCTTGCCCGTGCCCGGCGGGCCGTAGATGATGTAAGGCAGCGGACGGGCCATCCCCTTCAGCACGCGTCTCACTGCTGACTTTTGACGTTCGTTCAGACCTCGATTGAAAAACCGCAGCACCCGCACTCCCGTCTTCTCCGCAGCTGCCGGCGCGGGCGACATCCGCGGCACGCAGAACCCCACCGCTGCTGCGCCGCCGTCTCCCCCTCCCACCGGGTCAGCTCTGGCTGCTGCTGCTGCCCCGGCGGCGGCCGGGGCGGGGGAGAAGCGAGGCAGGACGAACGGAGCGCGCTGGCCGGTCGGGACGGCCGACAGAGCACGCAGTCGGCCTGAGGCGGCCGCGTACGACCGCGGCGGGGTCTTGAGCGGGGAGGTGAGCGGCGGGGCAGAGGTAGCGGTCGCTGCGGCGGGGGAAGCTGGAGGGCCGGTCGCTGGAGCCGCAGTGGTGGTGGCGGGTCGGACGTCCGAAGAAGGCGGGAGCACTGAGGGTGATGAGCGGGCGACTGGGGATTTCACTGAAGAATCAAGTCCATTCACTGGCTGGCCATTAACCTCTCTACCTTCAGTCCTCACGACACTCTGAGCAGCTGATGCGTTTCCCTGCGATCGATCTACGCTTTCTGACGAGCCGTTGCACTTCGCCTTCCCCGCTGTCACTGCTGTCGTCACTGACGGGCTATCGGTCGCCGCTGTCGCCGCCGCCGACTGCGCGGACGCCGCGGTAGATGGTGACCGGAACAGCCTGTCGACGACGGGCACCCGCCGACTGCGACGGGGCCGCCTCGCGTTACCACCGGCCGACGGGGTGCGGGAGAGAGACTCATCCACAGAGCCGTCAGCAGAGACGAATGAGACGTCCGAGTCCGACTGGGAGGGCGTGTCCTCGGCCGGGGCGGGGCCTGGAGCGGCAGAGGGCGTGGTCAGAGCGGCAGAGCTACCGGAGCTGCTGGCGCCGTGAGGGTGAGTATTATCCTGCCGGTGAAGTTGACCGTTGGTGAGTGGCGTTACCGATGTGACTGATCCAGACCGGTCCGCGCGGTGTGAGTCTCCATTCGTGATGGGCTCAGAGCTGTCACTCGTAGGCATACTCCCAGAAGGTAATACACTTATCACAGCGGCACCGTTTGAGAGTCCTGAGCTTCCATTGGCGCGAGGGGTGAGCTCTGAGTCCCGCGACTCCGAGGGACCGTCTGTAGCCACAGCCCCGTTCCTTTCAATGTCACCGTTCCGTATGTCACCCTTTCCTTCACCGTCACTGGACGCCGCCCGGGGAGTCAGCTCCGGATCAGCGGAGTCCGACGGGCCGTCAGCGGCCGACCCACCGGGCCCTGAGGCCGCCTCCTCTCCGGTCGGAGACGGCGGCATCTTCTGAGAGTCCGTGTCCAGATCAAACGACACCCGTTTGGTGTGAGAGCACACGGAGCGTTCCGACGTCCAGCCCGCCTCCTCCACAAAGTTCACCTGTAACGCGGACAGAACGTGGTGATCAGAATCGGACTGGGTTGCAACAATTGGGTGGGGTTTTTAGGGCGCCCGGACTACAGTGGTCATCGGCGGGGTTGCAGCAATCGCCTCACCAAAGCCGCTGTAATGTTGAAAGAGTTCAGTACTTTGGCAACCCTATATTATATACCCCAATATTGCCGTTATGACAAAACACACTCCAAGAACGGAAGGATTTCACCTTGGTGTTGTCACTGCACCCAAGAAGCTTGAATGTCTGAGCTAAGAAATATCCGCAACGCACGCAACCAAACTATTAGAAGCTAAGAGATAGCCACTAATTCCCACCACTCCTCCATATCCCCTTCCTTCCCAGCGATTCCTACCTGCGGCAGTCTGGCGGTGGCTGTAGTGGGGAACAGGACCCCGGCGCCGAGCCGCGCCAGCGCCGTCTCGACGGCCCGGTGCAGCTGCCGCAGCTGGCTGCGGCTGAACTCGAACGACGCGTTGTACTCCTTGCCCGTGTAACTCTGCTGAAAGTCCGGGTGGAACATGATGTTGAGCGCCGAGTGACGCACCTGATGCACGTACCCCTCGTACTTGAGACCTGCCGGGCCGGGAGAGCGGGCGAAACATTGTCAGTAGGCCCCGTAGGGTAGAAGGGGTAGAATGCTTGTCATTAATACCTCATGGGTCGCGGGACAGAGACGTACATTGACTTCAGAGCGGGGGTACGAAAACTGTCCGCCAATACCTCTATAGATTTGGAGTTGTTGGAAGCTCTGCTCTTTCCACCAAGCACCACGAGCAACATCTTTCACACAGAGCAATAAGAACCACTACCTTGCCCCACAGTACCTACGCGCCACTCACCCCTCTCCAACACAAACACCACTCACCCGACTCCTCGTACGGGTGCGAGAGCAGCACCTTGTCGCCGACGACGAGCGAGGGTCGGCTCTCGGCCAGTCCGGGCACGGCCAGCTGCAGGAACTCCCCGGCCCGACCCAGCACCACACCGTCCATGTCAAACTGGCGGATCTGGCGCAGCATCTCCACCTGACAAGGGCGAGGAGGCGGGTGTCAGATACGTGGAGGGAGTGTCAGACACGGGCGGGAGGGGTGTCAGACCTGCAGCGGGGAGCGAGGGGTGTCAGACACGGGCGGGGAGGAGAGTCAGACCAGGGCGGGGAGGGAGAGATGGATAACTCGTGGGGAGATAAGGGTATGAGACCAAGCAGGGCAAGGTGGTTAACCCTCGCGGGCCCGGGGGGGGGCGTTTTTCGCCCCCCCCCCCCTGGCGAATATTTGCGATAACTCCCGAACGCTTAGGGATAGGAAGGCGAAACTTTCAGTACCTTTTCTCCCATCAATTTGACATCTTCTGAAGTGAAAAATTTGGACCTAGCCCCCTTGATGACGTCACAAGGTCCATTTTTCTAGACCCCTGCACGGCAAACTTCGGCGTCACAGACGCAAACTTCAAATAGCTGCTAAAAATAGAGTTTTAGAGATAAAGACAAATTACGAGCACGGCTGTGTAGCGTTTGACCTAGCGAAAAATAGAAAAATAGTTTTGGTGACCTGAGGTCAGAGGTCAGGTCAACGACCCCGAAATGTGGTTTTAGTTTTTCGCAAATAACTTCGACAAAAATGGTCCTAGAGCTACGGCAGTGGTACCATCGCATTCGCCTTGTCAAGCCGCGTCGAATGATATATATTTTGTTCGGAAAAGGTCAAGTTTCATGTTGACCTCATGTGACCTCGAATGACCTCTGGTTGACCTTGACACATGAAAGGTCATTTATGATGGATTTGTACCCGCTGATCACGAATCTGGCATCTATTTTCCTCTAAGCCTTCATTTAGAGCTTCCGGCTAGCAAAATTGTCTTATTTATTATTACTAACTTGAATCAGTGAAATAGCCTCTAGCAGGGATACTCTTCTGTGACCTTGACCTTTGAGCAGCCTTGTATCGTAAGATGAACCACAAATAGGGAACTGATAAGCCTCAAAACATTTCAAAACATCTTGGAAGTTAGCACGCAAGATGTGCGAAAAAGTGCCAAGTTTGAGGTCAATTTTGAGCGTGACCTTGACCTTGACCTTTGATTTGGAGCACATTTTCAGAATCCTCAGATTCTCTTCTTTCGTTTGACACCCAATTTTGCCGGTTTGATGCAGCCTGCCGTCCTCTAAAAGGCTTACTTTGAGATCACTACACATGTGCCGGTTTTGGCCTTTGACCTTGACCTCTGACCTTGAAAATTGACCTGAGGTCAACAATTTTAGGTGCATTAGAATCGTCTCGTAAGGGGGACATTCCACGTCAAATCAAACACCGAAATCCGTCATCCCCTTCGATTTTTCTGAAAATTTGTAGGCAGACTGGGCATGGTTCAAAACTGAGTTACGTATAATATTTTCGAAATTTGATAACGTATCGCTGAGATATAGGTCATCGAATATAGCGAAAAATGCCACACATCAATTTTTTAAATGGCTATAACTCTGGTTCCTTTTCTGGTATCAAAATGATATTAACAGGGTCTTATAGGCAATTGATAAGGCTTCGATTTTTAATTATAAAATTAAATTGAAGTGACCTTGAAATGCTTTTGACCTTGAATTAAAACAGAAAAATTTAAATAGCAAAAAACACGTCACCTTCGATTTGGCTAATTTTTACATATTATGTCCGTCACAATGTTCCTAACCATCTGTGAAAAAATTGGAGTGGGCCATTCATAACTTTCGCGGCAAACGCCGTTTTCATGCATCAACATCACGCAACCGCGCGTGACCTTGAAAGACAGAGTCAAGACATGCTTGCTTGTGTACACTTTCTGAAATGAATGATTGCTGATTAGTGATATCCCAAACTCTGCGAGCATGAAAATGCATAGTCATCGTAGTCAAGCATTCACGTTCCATTGTAAAAGTGTCTCAGGCAAACGGTACCTATTTTGCGGTGAATTTTGAGCCGTGTGGAAATGCATCATGAAGTAAATTCAACGAAAACATTATCACGCAACGATATCTTCACGTCTTTTGATCTTCACTATACGAAAGAACATACATTTTTTAGTATGTATGGGGAATTTCTAGTTAATCCAATAATAAATATGGCAATTGGCAGTTAAAGGCCTGCTAAGAGTAACATGTCGCCGGCTGCAAGGCGGGCTCGGCCGATGCGGGAAACGCAGCAATCACAATTTTGTGTTTACACGTTCATATTTCAATTGTTTACCAACCGATTTTCAAACTTCTTTCACCATAAGATTGCCTGTACATTTCTTAGTCTTCTCACAAAATTGGACGCGAATCGAACGTAATCAGCGGTAGGGAGCGCGATATAAAGACGGAACCGTTCCGTTCCGTCCCGGCACAGTCTACAATTCAGGCGGCGCGTAGCGGTCGGCGCCGGCTGCCGAGTCGCCGCGTCGCTGCGGCGACAGGATGTTCACTTTACACCGCTATTACTAGAACAGTTGTGAACCGATTTTCTTATTGCTTGCACGATGAGATGTCCAATTCAATTCTTGATAGGTAGCCATAATTAATTTCGCATTAATCTTATGAGATATTGGCGAAAAACAGGAGGGGTGGGCGAAATTCGCTCTTCCTCCTCCACTGCGCGTGCTAACATACGTTTGCATATGTGCAATTTTCTTCAAAACTTATGAATGGCCCACTCTAATTTTTTCACAGGTTGTTAAGAATATGGTAGGCAATAAAATATATGAAAATGAGCCAAATCGAAGGTGACGTGTTTTTTGCTATTTCGATATTTGTACTTAAGAACAGAGTTAAGCAAATTTCAAGGTCATATATTTAAGTAGGTGCAATTCTAAACAAATGCTTAAGAAATTACCTAAACAGTAAGGGTTATTTCATTCAAATCAAACAAGTACAACCAAAGTTATGGTCGTTCAAAAATATAAAGATGCAACATTTTGTAAAAATTTGATGCCCTATATTTAGAAGACCTGTGGTCAGAATGTGCAAAAAACATCAATGTAATGTCCGGGGCCACACAGGAACTCGCTCACAAATTTATAATGAAATCGCTGATGGTAAGGTGCAAAACAGCCGATTTTTGTTCGATTTGACGTGGAATGCCCCGAGGACCTTTCGTTTGGTATCGCTTTTGTTTCCGTAGCTCCCTTATTTACGGAGTTAGACAGGGGGGGGGGGGGCGAAAAACGCCCCCCCCCGGGCTGCGGTGGTTGGGATTACCCCCCGGGCCCGGCCGGGTTAAGGTAACTTAGGTCAGCTAGATAATATGTTGCAGCTTAAGAATGTCGATGGTATGTGATAAGGTAAATTTAGTGCCGGTGGTAAGGACGATGGGACAAAAAAAAACAAGAAATAAGTTTCAAAACATCAGCCTCTTCTATTCCATTCAACGACCTCTCACTAACTCTTTCACGGTCTACAAAAATCCGCAAAAAATATAATACATTGCAGCAAGTGTAGCACAGTTATGCTCTTATCGATAGCTCCTAGCCTGTACGCCATCTGTCACGCTCCCGTCCCTTCCCTCTCCACGGGTATGCCGCACTCGCCCCGCGCCCATCCCCACCGCTCACCTCCTCGATAAAGAGCAGCAGCGTCAGCCTCTGTTTGTAGTTGTCCGGGCCGAGCTCGGAGGCCAGGCACGGGTAGTTGGCCAACAGCCGGTCCCCGTCCATCGACAGCAGCCGCGTCGGCAGAGGGTACGGCGGCAGGCGGGCGCTCACGAACGGCGCCGGCTTGAAGGCCGGCTGTCCGGGCACCACCACACAGCTCTGCCGAGCGTCCAGCGAGTCAGAGTCATAGCCGACGGCAGCGCGCGCCCGGCGGCGGCTCGGCGCCGGGGCCGACAGCAGCGCCGCGGACGGGTCCTCCACGGTCACACCCAGCCAGCGGCCGATACGGAACGCGCCAAAATCGAGCAGGCAGAGCGCGCGCGCGGCGCCCAGCAGCTCTGCGCGGCACTCGACCGTCACGGCCCCGCTGCCGCCGGCGGGGATCTCGGCACAGTCAGGCGGTGTCACAGAGAACTGACCGCCCGCGTTCGAGAGCAGCCGCGCCGCCGCCAGCGTCACAGGAGCGCCACTCGCGTTACGGACTACCAGCGTCGTGCGCCGCTGCTCGCCGCACTTCAGCTGTCCGAACTCGCCGTCGCCCGTCACAGACACACCCTGTTTGTCGTCTAGAAGGTCGGCGGAGAAGGAGGCCGACGCGGCGGGCGGCGGCGCGGCGGCCGGCGGCGGTCGCAGCCAGGCACGCGCCTCCAGTGCCGCCACTCGCACGGCCCGCCAGTTGAGCGTCAGGCCGCGAGGCGTCGACTGGGAGCTCTCGACGGCGGAGCAGCGCACGCGGTCCCCGCGGCGCGGCAGACGCGCCAGACTCCACGCCGACGGCAGGAAGTAGATCTGGGAAAGCGGGTAGTGGGGCGGTTAGCGAGGTGTTGACTGTTGATACGTCAATTGAATGATAGCGATGCATGATTAATTTAGACCGCAATAGCAGCGTCCCTAGGTAGAGCCAAAACCAGCAAATACATCATTAGAAAAAATCGATAATATTTACGACTGAATCAAACATACAAAGTTCTATGAGAATGTCATATATCAAACTCTGATCATGTTTGACATGTAGCTGTCCAGGAATTGCCTAAGCCTCGAAGCAGGAAACTGAACATAACATAATATAAACATAACGCTAAGGCTTTAAATCGATGACATGGGACGGGCCCATGGTTGCATTCAATGTCAGCATTTCACAAGTCTACAGCTATGACACCCATATTCCCCGATGGCAGAGATCTGATTAGCGCTACACACCTGATTATCGACGAGTCCGAACATGGGCTGCTCGTGGGCGACCAGGGTAACCTCGCCATCCACCTCCCAGCGGCGCAGGGGGCGGACCCGCACCTTCTGACCGCCGGTGACCTCACGGGGGATCGGGTCATCACTCTCCAGCTCCAGCCAGTCTCCTGTCGATGGCGGGAGGGGAGAGGGCAGAGTGAACGTGCGGAGTAGAGGAGAATGGAAAGAGTAAGGAGGGAGAGCTACTAAAAAGGAGACGTGCTAGAAATCGTAAGCAATGAAGACAAAATGAAAACCCTTAAAAACATTTAGTTTTGAGCCAAATGGTAAATTTCCCGGTAGAACAATAGCATGAATACTAGGGCAGAGCACACGTTCGTTCTCCTTAGTGCTATGGACCATTTCTGATACCTAACATGCAAAAAAAGAAACGGAAGGGAAAATAAGTCCTTTCTGAGCATGATTTTTCAGAAATAACAGGAGAGTTATATGGTATTCCGTATTTCATTCAGCAAGAAAAGAGGACGGACAAAGGCCTAGTCGCACCACGCAGACATCGCTCAGCCCTGTATTCAAATCCCGACCGGACGGCCTCTCCTCCCCTGCGCGGTTCAGTACGGTACGGTACAGTACGGTATGGTACGGTACGATACGGTACGGTACGGTACAGTACGGTACGATACGGTACGGTACAGTACGATACGATACGGTACGATACGGTACGATACGGTACGATATGGTACGGTACGATACGATACGGTACGATACGGTACGGCACGGTGCGGTACGGTATGATACGGTACGATACGGTACGGTGCGGTACGGTACAGTATGGTACGGTACAGTACGGTACGGTACGGTACGCACCTTCTGCGGGCAGGAAGTCGACCTCGGCGTCGGCCTGGCGCAGCCGGTACTCGTCGTCACGGTCCGCCAGCACCAGCACGTCCCCCTCGAACCGGCGCACCTGCCCCACCACTCTGTTCTCGGCCGGCGCCTCCTCCGCGGCCGTCCCCCAGTCGTCGTCACACACCTCCACGTGGATGGCCAGCCAGGCGTGCTCCTCGTCTCGGCGGCGCGCCTCCCCGCGGACGCGCTCGCCGACCTCCGGCTGGCGGGGGCCGCGCACGGCCGCCGGCTCGAACCACACGTCGCCGGAGACGGTGCCGCCCTCGGGCGACACGCTCAGCACCGAGCCCTCGAACCAGCGGCGCGCGTCCGTCGGCCGCGGCTCGTCGGCCGGGAAGAACTGGTGCAGCTCGGGGCGCGGCGCCGCCGACTCCGGCGCCGGCGCGCCCCACAGCCACGCGCGCAGCGTCGACAGCATGGCGCGCGGCTAGAACGGCTTGGTGGCGTACTTCCAGTCCGTCTCGGAGAGGTAGTCCAGCTCCTTTTTGAGTCGCTTCAACCGCTTCTGGTGGTCCTCCTGACGAGTATCCGACACCTGCTTCTCCAACTGTTGGGACGGACAGATGCGCAGCACTCAGCACAGACTTGTGACAGGCGGTGTCAGCTATTGTGCACCTTATATTAAGCTGTCCAAAAACAGTTTCAAACAAAAAATCGCGTGCAAACATCTGTGATAAGTTATCTACAGATAATGTAAATAATAAACCAAATTATTACAAATGCATTCAAATATATTCAAAAAGACACACAAAGCTTTCGGTTCATGGAACCTTGATCACTGTGCATTTTTGCACAGTGATCAAGGTTCCATGAACCGAAAGCTTTGTGTGTCTTTTTGAATATATTTGAATGCATTTGTAATAATTTGGTTTATTATTTACATCATCATCCAACCTGTCATGGATACTCAATATCTACAGACATAAAAGTCGAACTATAATCACCCATTCCCAAGACACTTGGGGACAACTACCCCCCCCCCCCCCCCCACACACACCGAAAATGGAGCTGCAAAAATGGAGCACGTAGGAACTGCAGGAGATTTAATCCCCTACAGTTCCTACGTGTCGTAACACTAGACTTACCTCCTGCTCAAAAGAGTGCCGCGACTGCACAGCTGCTGCGTCTGAACGCTCCTGCGACCTCTGCTCCGCCTGCTGGGCCGGCGACGACAGCAGCAACTTCCGTGGAGCCAAGTGGTCACTGTCCATTGTCACCTGCAACCATCAGAGCCACAGGCCTGCAATCAATTACCAAAACCGTCGGGCATTCAGATGTAATCAATCAGCGTGTGTTGGGGTTGCCGTTAACCCAACGGGGAAGATTATCCCGCGCCCCACTGGGACTCCTGGACTTCCACGCCCTGTGGGAGGGGGGGGACGGGGTTTGAACACCCCTTTTCTAACTTGGCCCCTGGGACACGTAGCGACATACTGTAAGCAGCGTTCGAAAGGCCGTTAAAATAGTGACGAAATTACATTGGTAAATTTAGGTCAGGTCAAGGGTCAGGTCATCAGAGGTCACCGTAGGCCAAATTTCGCCGATTTTCAGGGCAAATGTCGACAATTTTCAACAAACCGGCGCATAACTCGGAAACGAATAGAGCTACCCCGGAAAAGCACATTTGATAGCCCGATTAACACTCTTTCTGATTAACTTCTCAGATTTAACCTAAAGTCAACGGTTTTGTCTGCAGGGGAGAAAAAAACTGCCAAAATAAACGAATTTAGCGGAAACTGTTTTCTGCCGTAACTTTTGACCCAAACCTAGCACGAGTTTACTTTTACCGGCATCGTGTTCCTCAGTCCTCTAGTCAGGTCGCGTCGAATAAACTATACTTTGACCTTAGGTCAATTAGAAAACTTGACCTCAGGTCAAGGTGAAGATCTGACCGGGAAGTTCGTTGTTTGTTTGTTGGGGGTAAGTGGCGTGCCGACTGCAAGGTCATTTTGCGCCCATAACAGAGATTTTAAATACGTCTTTACTTACTTGCTTACTTACTTATGTTTTATGCTTAGGAAAGGAAAGTAACGGTGAAATTGGCTGCGCGGATAAAGGAAAATATGCTACCGTTATGGATCCAGCGCGAGTTATCTGAGAGAAGATCTAAGCGAGTCACTGTGGGCGCAAGATGCCAGAGGTGCCAGGTGGTGTGACCGCATCCGGCGGCACGTCAGCAGCACGTGGGCCACTGTGAGTTGCTCCCCACAGTGGATGCAGTCGTGTGACGTGCTGTATATCGGTCGATCCGTGTCGTCGAGCTAGACACATCTAAGGTGGTTTCATTGCTTTAGAATGCCCCTATCAAAAGTTTTTAGCAAAAACTGCTGCATACCTTTCCTAACCTGACTTGACCTCATGAACATCACGGATGTCATTTTCCAGTTCAGTGTGTCATGTTTACATGTACCTTACAAAACGATCTATCATTCATTGTAGCTATGGCAAACATGGGAACTTTTTCCGAGGTGAGGTTACTTGAAGTGACCTAGAGTGAGCCTGGACCTCACCTTGAAAGACATTTGTCTCAAATTTTCGTACCATGTGCAAAAGCGATGCATGATAAGGTGTGCTAAAATAGGCGGCCCTCCGTTCCACAGCTATTGAGATATTTGCAAAAAAAAAAAAACAGAGTGGGTGTTCAAACACCCCCAGCAGGGTGCTGGTTAGCAGAGCAGGTACGAGGGCTTACGTAGGTATTGGTGATTTTTATTGCCTTCATTAGTTTTATCACAATTTAATGAAATTGATGGTGTTTTTACTATGTTATTACTTACTTAGTGTACAGGGTGATTTTTTTTACTTGTTAAAAAGTAATGAGGTTTAGTGGCGTCAAAATGCAAATATATATTGTAAAATTATATACCAGCATGACGAGCATTCTGGGACATTTTGATTTCATGCAGACACGATGTGAAGGAACGTCCATCGTGTATTTTACTTGTGCTTGAAGTTACCCCCTCTCTCACCGACACGAATCAGCCCGCCTGAGCACGTGTTGAACAGCACCATGGACTCCCATGCTCATTAGGCGGACTGAAAAGGTTCCTATCACCCATTTTCAGCTCTGCCAGATATTTCCAATATTTTCTTGTTATATCTGCCATACCTGGGTCCAAAAACTAGAAGTATAGAAAGGGCAGGTCGAGGATTTTGCTACTGGCGGCCCTGGTGGTGTCTGATTCGCTGTTTTTGTTTCTCCCTGAAGACTGATTCTTCAGAGGATGCACATACGCCAGATGGACCGTTTGAAGGTTATTTATGACTACAAGCTTGTTCGTGCATTATTTAACGTCTTTCTGAGGTATCCCCTTGATGATCGTATGCTTCGAACTGCCTCAATGCTTCAAAATCATCGTTTTGTGTCGTTCCTTACTGAACGGCGGTGGACCATGCGTGCCCGATTGGTGGGGCATTTTCAGGCTCCACTGGGGCCGAGGCCTTCGGTTAAAAGGGACAAATCATGACACCATACAAAATGTCCCAGATTTATCTATCACGTGCATTGCTTTTTTGCACAAGATTTTTCGATTTAGGGACCACCATTGACGTTTACTTTTTAACAGTTAAAAAAAAAATCACCCTGTACTTACTTATGATGTACAGGAATTTTCATGACATCAATGCCACGATCAATGACATCCATGACAATATTATTGCATCAGTCATTGGAGTCATCAGTCATTGTAAAAAATGGAAAAGAAATTAATCATTTACATGTCACCTATAGATTACCTATCTTAGCCAATAAAGTCAAAAAATCAAGAATGGGGTTTATAAGATCGTCAGATTCTTGTCAGAATCTGTCAATGCCTTAGCGGGAAAAGCTCATTCACCAGACTGGAAAACATCCTTAAACTACGCCGGACGCCCGTGAGAGCCTCATGCGCTGAAATTCTGAGTAAGCGATTTTGCGCTGAAATTTTTGCATGATTTGCGCCCAAAGTTGGGTGCCTATTTGTGCCAAAATTAAGCCACTTTAATTTAAAGCATTTGTGCACGTCTGCCGTCCAAGGCTATATCAACCAGACAGGGCGACGAGCGTTCCGGGGCCTTGGACGCTTTCCCATGTTTGAGTGTCTGAATTAGTTGATCCAATACCACAATATGTACGTGTAGCGCACTGTCACTGTAGCATTGTGCCGTGGAACAAGGCCCGGGCCGAAAGTTCTAAGGGCTGTTCACGGGCCCTGTGTGCGGTCGGACCGCACACAGCCTCGAAGTTCCGCCCACTTCGTCCCTACGTCAGCCTTCCGTCACCGCACACAGCGATCGCTGTGGCCGGTCGGGACCGGCCACAGCGGACCGTCCACCGCACGCAGCCGTGACGTCAGAACCGCCTACCCATCCCCTACCCCCACGCCTGCTGGACGCACCTCACACACCGCACGCAGCAGTGTGCGGTGCCCGTGAACACCTCTCTGGTGCCACAAAAATCGGCGGAGGGTGTGTTCGAGGCTGGTCGGTGCGAGGACAGACCCCTGCGGCAGGCCAGCTCGGAATGGGCGGTTCCGGCTCCGTGCCCCGTTGACATCCGCGCGAGCGCGTCGGTCTCGGAGAAAGTGGTGAATCCACGTGACAGTGGCGAATCTTCCTGTACGCCGATGACACCCCAACACTGTGTTCCGGCGGTACGAGAGCGGAGGCCAGGGACCGGGCTCAACAGGCGGCGGACGCCATGGCGAAGTGGACCCGCGACTGGAAGATGCGGCTGGCAGGAAGCAAGACGCAAGTTTTAGCCCTGTCGCCGCACTACGTCGATGCCCGTGACTTGTACATCCACGCAGACGGGGCGCGAGTGGACGCTGGGAGACACCTTCACCTTCTCGGTGTAACCATGGATCGGCAACTTCCCATGGGTGAGCACTTCACGCGCGTCCGGAAGAAGACTAAGCCAGGGATTGCACATCTCTGCAAGATGACCGGGCGCTCCTGGGGTCTGCGGGAGCCACAGCTGCGAGTAGTAGCCAATGGCTACGTCCGCGATGCCTTGGAATACGCGGCGGCTGCATAGCTCCCTGCTGCGTCCGAGTCCCACCGCCCACGTGGAGCTACTTGAGATGGAGATGCGCGCGGCAGCCCGCGTTATCATCGGGTGCCCGTGAGCACGCCGAGGGATCCGCTCCTCGCGGAAGCCGTTTCGGTCCCCGTGAGAGCACGCCGGGACCTGCTCGCTGCCAGACTGAGCTGCCTGGCAGTCTCACAAAGAAGCGGCGACCCACTGCGCGCGGTGGCCGAAGCAACGGCCCCACGGCGGCTCCGCACCACCACCGGCTGGCGCGACACGGGGGCGCGCGCCCTGGTGAGCGCGGGCGTGCGAGATGTACCTGTGGAGGAACGATTGCACGTCACCATCTCGCCGTGGATCGATGACACCAGGGTCCAAATAAGACTCGACATCGGCAGCCACATCAGCCGCACAGCACCACCCGACGTCCGGCGGGCGAGAGCGGAGGAGCACTTGGCCGCCCTCCCAGACGACGCCGTATGGGTATGGAGCGACGGCTCGGCGGAGGGAGGTGTCCGGAGGGAGTGGAGCGCTGATAATCCTCCCCTCGGCCCTCAGGCGAGGAACACGAGCTCCGGCCTCCGAGCCCCTGCAGGCAAGATATGCAGCAGAACCCGCGCCGACGGCCCGAACTGGTGGCGATCCGCGGGGCATTGGAGATGCTGCTGCAACTGGAGGGCGGCCCGGCGGTGAGCCCGGTCATCGTCTGCGCCGACAGGCAGGCGGCGCTGGCCACGCTGGCGAGTGGGGCTGGGGCCTGGGAGCCAGGCGACAGCACTCGGCGCCGCCGTATGGCAACTGCTCCTGACGCTCACGGACGGAGGACGCCGAGTCTTCATGCAGTGGATCCCAGCGCACTGCAGAATACCCGGCGATGAGAGACTGCGGACGTGCTGGCTAAAGAGGCATCCAGCCTGTCGCAAGACACCGTCCCAACGGACGTCCGCTCTATCGTGAAGGCCGTCGGCCGCTCCGCCACCAAGGCATGGCGTCGTAGCTGGCCAGACGGCCTCTTCAAGATAATAATGGGAGACCGGATGCCGATGCCGGTGCTCCTGGAGTCTCGGGACGAGGCGGTTAACGACCACCAGCTGCGGGCGGGACACTGGAGCCGCTCGAAGAGTTATCTGCACAGGATCGGACGCCGCCCCGAGCGCGGCTGTCGTCAGTGCAGCGACCTGGCCCGCCCAGCGGCGCGCTGCCTGGTGTGCCGCGAGGGCCCGGACACGCCAGAGCACGTGCTGCTGAGGTGCCCGTACTTGGCTGGCGCGGGGCTCCGCCTATTCGGCAACATTAGACCGGGCCCTACGCAGCTTCGGGACGGCGGGGCCGTGGCGGCCTTGAGCCGCGGCTACCTCAGTCACCGAGAGCCGCTGGGCTACGGTCGGCCGTGAGCCGACCCGAGGAGAATAACAACAGCAACAACAACAACAACAGGCTGGCAGGCGCCAGCGAGGGCCGGGCACCGGAGTCGCACGTGCTCTGGCACTTCTTCTTCACTTCTTCGTGTGCCTCTTCTCGGCACACGAAGCAAAGCGCAGCGGGGCACCGCTTGTCCGGTCACTGCTGGCACTCCGCGCATATGAACCGCCCGGGTCAGCGAGCGGACATCCGAGGACAGGGAGGCCGCTTGTTTTGCCAGGCCATCAGCGCTCTCATTTCCCTCGATCCCGCACTCCGCAGTGGACAGGAACTTAGGCAGGAACCCACTGCAGGATTACTTCACAAGGCTCGACGATGTTCAATAAGCTCCTCCATTATACCTACCTATTTCCACGCTGAGCATGGAGGCCCCCTGGCCCTGGGCGTTTGCCACTCCGCTGAGTAAACTCAGGGCGACTCATGAGTCATGAGTCGAGGCATTCGACAATTGGGGTGGGGGACGTCTCATCCCTAACCTTTCCAGAGCAGAGCCACCCGCAGGGCAATTCCGCTGCTAGATTGACCAGAGTGCAATAAAACTAAAATTTGGTGACTGTCATTCGCTGAAGATTACACAGCCGCCCTGCCCTGCATGCCAAGAACTTTCAGCGACCACGATGCGCTTAATTCAGTGCATACATGGTTACGCCAGACATGCCCAGAAATCTTTGGTCAAATCCCACTACTATGCCGGGCATATTTGGCACAGCTTGTAAGTTTCCACTCAATCTGACCTTCAGATAACTACCTATTTCCCTCCTATTTTGCTTTCTCACAAATGAGATTAGTATCATACTGGTAGTAATATTCAAATCGGAAATATTCCGCTTATTATTACCCAATTATTATTCATCGCATGAAATTGAAATGGCAGCGCCACCACTGCGGCGGGGTGCCCTCCTAGCAGAATTCAGAACTCTAGCACTTTCTAAACATATCCCATTAAATTTACACATCATTCAAAAGAGCACTTCATTATGAAGATCAATTGACTGTATAATTAACGTTAAGTAATCACAGCTTACCAAATAAAATTTCCCCCAACAACCTACCGCGCCGTTTTCGTAACCCCTCCCTCCGATGTGTACAACATCAACATTCAGTGGTCTACAAGCTGCCTTGTTTACCGTTATTTTGACGTAATAAGTACTTGTTCGTGGTATATAAATGTTCAGAGTTTGAGGTTAAATGCTTTTTTAGGCTTATTAAGTAGTTTCAGGTGAGGTTAAAATGATAATGTTGAGGTTTAAGGGAGGATTTCATAATGTTTTGTACAAAAATAAAACTACAAATGCGTCATAGAACAGCTGCGAAAATACTTTTTATGACGTCTACAGCCAGAAATGTCACATGATTTCATTCGCACCTTGATTCTCACCAAAGCCCACCCAAAGCGCCCTATTTGTGTTGATAGGTGTTTTTTTTATTGATATTGATATAGGGGGATCGGGTGTCGTTACGGTCGGAAATATTTAATATTTTAATTTTGCTGCTATGCTGCTGCTTTCAGAGGTAAGTGGACTATGCCCTGTGACTTCTTTTCTGCCCGAATTAATACAGGTACATCAACATGCCGCATCAGTCGGGGAAACTGGTAAAATCTGCTATTTTTAGCAGTCTGCTATTTTTAGCAGAAATCTGCTAAAAATGGGTACGCATGTGACGTCATCGTACCCAAATGTAGCAGATTTGGGTACGGCCCCATACAAAAGCAGATCTGCACCCTAATTGAAGCAAATGCGCATCAAATGCCTGGCAGATTCATGATTAGAATAGTGCTAAGAATGTCCTCTGATATTTTTGTTCAGATCCGACTATTTTCAAATAATGAATTTGAAAATAGTCGGATCTGAACAAAAATAGCAGAGATCACTCTCAGCACTATTCTCATCATGAGTCTGCCAGGCATTTGATGCGCATTTGCTTCAATTAGGGTGCAGATCTGCTTTTGTATGGGGCCGTACCCAAATCTGCTATATTTGGGTACGATGACGTCACATGCGTACCCATTTTTAGCAGATTTCTGCTATAAATAGCAGACTGCTAAAAATAGCAGATTTTACCATAGTTTCCCCGACTGGCATCCGCCTGAAATAAAATGTGGAGGCAGTGGAGGCTATTTCCTGTTATTTATAATTTCAATGTTACCGTAGCATAGGAGCAAGGCTATACATGGGAGGTACATATGCAGATATTAAAGTGAGATAGTTCTGGAAAGGTTAGGTGGTATCGGTAACCCTGGCGTCACCGGTAGCTTTTTCGTTTGAGGCTAAAGTTTCCTGTATCAGGCCGCCGTGCCAGGCCAAAGCATGCTGTGCCTGTGACGTCACTGGGTAAGAGAAGATAACGTAAAGAAGGACTCAGGCAGACTCAAATCGACTCAGGCAGACTCAAACTGACTTGACCGACTCAAACTGAGTCTGATTCAGATCTACTCAGTCTTAGACTGACTCAAACTAACTCAGACCGACTCAATTGACTCAAATCGATTGACTCAAAATGATTCCGATCGACTCAGACAGACTCAGAACGACTCAGGCAGACTCCAACCGACTCAGGCAGACTCAGACCGACTCAGATAGACACAGAATGACTCAAACTGACTCAGGCCCACTCAACCGACTCAAATCGATTCCGATCGACTCAGACAGACTCAGAACGACTCAGACAGACTCAGGCAGACTGAAACCGGCTCAGGCAGACTCAGACCGATTCATATCGACTCAGATAGACTCAGAACGACTGAAACTGACTCAGACCCACTCAACCGACTCAAATCGATTCCGATCGACTCAGACAAACTCAGAACGACTCAGACAGCCTCAGACAGACTCAAGCCGACTCAGGCACACTCAAACTGACTCGACCGCTCGAACCGATTCAGGTCTGATGATTCAGGTCAAACCGATGGGTCTGTCTGAGTCGGTCTAAATCGGTTTGAGTCGGTTGTGTCGGTTTGAGTCTGCCTGAGTCTGTCTGAGTTGTTCTGAGTCTGTCTGAGTCGATCGGAATCGATTTGAGTCGGTTAAGTCGATCTGAGTCAGTTTGAGTCGTTCTGAGTCTATCTGAGTCGGTCTGAGTCGATTTGAATCGGTTTGAGTCGGTCGAGTCAGTTTGAGTCTGCCTGAGTCTGTTTGAGTCGTTCTGAGTCTGTCTGCGTCGATCAGAATCAATATGAGTCGGTCTGAGTCAGTCTGAGTCGTTCTGAGTCTATCTGAGTCGATCTGTGTCGATCTGAATCGGTTTGAGTCGGTCGAGTCAGTTTGAGTCTGCCTGAGTCGGTTTGAGTCGTTCTGAGTCTGTCTGAGTCGATCGGAATCGATTTGAGCCGGTTGAGTCGATCCGAGTCAGTCTGAGTCGTTCTGAGTCTATCTGAGTCGGTCTGAGTCGATCTGAATCGGTTTGAGTCGGCCAACCCTGAACGAAAACATTGCCGGTGACGCCAGGGTTTTTGCACCCCCCTAAGGTTTTTCGCGAATTACTCGCGCAAAAAGCGGCCGATCGCGACGAAACTTTCAGCACCCTCGCATTGATCAAGTTTACACCTAACCTGAAAATTTCATGACCCTGACTCAAATAACCTTTGATCTGTGACCTTGTTTCTGAGACCATGTCTGGCCGGAATCGTGATTCGGCATGTGTCGGTCGCCATTAGCCGCGCATTTGCAAGCTTTTCGTGGTTTCAAACGTTCAAACATGTGATTTGATGTTGCTCCCATGCATTAGAGTGAAGGTCAATTTCACCTGAAGGTTAGGTCAGGTCATTCATCTTTGGTGACCTCGGTTCACTTTTCGAGTTTTACATGTTTCTAGGCTAGTTGTTGGAGCTGAATTCGAATTTAGCAACCATTTGAACATTTACGAAGTAGTTTTGGTGTCTTCGTAACATGTTACGAAGCTGTCGGAGGCAGTTGACACATACTACGAATACCCGTCACGACCCCTACTGGTTGACCTGACCTGACCCAACCTGGTCAAAGTACTTAAAGGCATCATCTGTGAAAAAAATAACACGATATTCGTAATCAGCAACCCGAAAAACCTCATAGCAGCCACACTTTACGACTTTCTAACAGGTCCCGATTTTCCCGACTTTTGGGTCATTGACCTGACCTGGAAGGTCAACCGATGACCTAGGACCTTAAAATTGGGTATCATCAGCTTCCTCTCGTGACGGGCAACACGCTCGTTTTTTTTTTTTCGCGAAGCTCTAGCTCTATCAGGGGCCAAACGCGAGGGGAGGGGGTTGTACCAACCAACCAACCCCCCACCCCCTTGTGCCGTCGAAAAACGCAAAATGGCCTGTGCCGGCGAGGGTTAAGGACCTAGGTCATTGGCTGACCTTACTGATCAGGTCAATGACCCGAAATTCGGGAAAATCAGGACCTGTTGTAACATTGTAAAGTGGGGTTGCTATGTTTTTTTTCGGGGTGCTGGTTACAAATTTCATATTATTTTTATCACAGATGATGTCCATGTATTTAGGCCAGGTCGGGTCAGGTCAGGTCAGCCAGTAGGTAGGTGTCCTGCCAAGTGTTCATAGTAAGTGCCAACTGTCACGCACAGTTTTGTAACATCATGTTACGAAGTACCAAAACTACTTCGCTCATGTTCAAATGGTTGCTAAATTTGATATCAGCTCCCAAAACTAGCCCAGAAACATATAAAGCTCGAAAAAGTCAACCGAAGTCGTCAAGGTCTGTGACCTGACCTGACCTGACCTTCAGGTGACCTTGACACCCACCATAATGCATGGGACCAACACCATGTCACATGTTCGAACGCTTGAAACCACCACAAAAAATATCTGCATGTGCGCGGCTTATGCGAGCCGACATACGTTGAATCGCGATTCCGGCCAAACATAGTCTCGAAAAATAGGTGATTTGGTTCAGGGTCATAAAACTTTCAGGGAAGGTGTAAAATTGAAAAAAAAAACTCTGAGGTACTGAATGTTTCGTCGCGATCAGCCGCTTTGTAGGCGAGTTATTCGCGAAAAACAGAGAGGGGGTCCGTTCGACCCCCTCCTCCATATAGGGGCGAGGGTTTGATTAATCACTGTTCACCTGGGCATTGGTTACATATAAAGATCAAGCTTATTACAAACTTGGCTTTTCCACGAGCTTGGATGCTAAGTTGCTGGAGTATGAGTGGCTAAGTTCTCTAACTAATAGCTCTACAAAAGGTACACAAGTTAACCACTCTATATTTTGCTTTCAGAATGAATATCACGAAGTGAAGGGCAAGGGTGGCCATTCTTATATCCTATGTGAAAGGATGGGAATGTTCCCGAACATCCATAAGGTTAGTGTGAAACTGTTGTTTACATTTTGATTCTTTTTTTTTTTAATTTTTATTATCATGACCATCACGACCATCATAATCGCCACACCACACGATCAACATCATTCCCACCATCAGTTCCGCGACCGCACAGAACCACGTCTGTTCCATCAGTACACACGGTGAGACCAGTCCATCTTCGTTCGATATCATCAACAGACGTCACATCACCGGGCGACGCAGGCACTTTGTGCGCACATCACGGACGTCAGGCGCCTCTTACGGACCGCCCGCTGGACTGACGCGGCGCAGTATGTGACGACGTCACACGCGCGAGATTCCCGCACGTGACTCGCGAGACTGCCAGCAACAAACTTATGGAAGATGGAATGATAACATCTTCGTACGATAGTCTACCGGCACTGCCCCTTGTCCGCAACCGGTGACTGTGTCCTTATAAATACCATGCCTGCTGACACAGAGGGCAGTCGTGGGCTAAACCGCCCTCAGCGGCATTCAGCTCTGCTCCCTCCTTACAGGCGCATGTACCTAGGTCTACCAGCGTACACCTAAGCCCAAAAGAGTACATCTAAGCCTACAAGCGTACATCTAAGCCTTAGCTGACACAAATCAGATTGCGCAAGGATAGAGGTTACCGACAGGTGGGCGGCAGCGCGGGCCCAGCGAGGGCGGCGGCGACACGTCACCAGCGAGGGCGGCGGCAGCATAGCCCCAGCGAGGGCAGCGGCGACAACATCCCAGCGAGGGCAGCGGCGACACAGGCCCAGCGGGCTAGCTTGCGGCGGCGACGGCCACACGGGCTCGGCAGCGTCCAAGGGACGGTTACGAACACATAATGTGGGGCCGAATCAGTGGGTGAAGTGATAATATGGGCAAGGGGTGGAGGTCGGGGGGGGGGGGGGTAGGAAGAGGAGGGGAGGGGGTGATAGGTGTATGCAAGTTTTGAATTCGGGAAAATGTTGCAGGAAATCCGCTAAATTTTGCTGCTAAATTCTGATTTATTCTTCAAGAATGCCAGCTAATCTGCCCCACTTGGTCTCGTGTTTATCTAAAGTCTGCCGCCTGACGGCAGCGTTCTTCTCTACTGATGCTTCAGCTCTCAGTAGTGACAAAAATAGTGACATGCTAGGGGGGACGTTTATATACTTTGAGCGCAATATCACACGTTTAGCTAATGTTATTATCAATATCTTCAACCTATCTTCGCTCGGGAGACGAGGGAAGAACCATGTTTCTTTTTTTGCATTCAAAACAATGCTAAATGTGGATGTTAAGTGTGCTTCAACCTCTTTAATAAAGCGCTGCACCACATCGCAGCTCCACAACACATGTAAAAGAGTTTCATCTTCCATTTCACAAAAAGTGCATAATGGACTGTCCGCTTTTCCGATACGATATAAAAATGTATTCGTGGCTACTATTCGGTGCACTGTTCGGAAATGGAAGATTTGCAAATAACTATTTTTGGTTGAGAGGCGTATGTCTCTCATGGTGCCAAAGTGCATGTCTCCCACATCTCTCACCCACTTTTGTTCTACTTTAGATGGTCTCTCTCTTTGTTTCGCGTAGAGTGCCGTGACAAGGCTTTTGTAAACTATTTTCGATATCTTTGACTTTTCGGAAAGTAACGCAATTTTGAAAGGTAGAACTGGTGCCTCTATCCGTTGTTTTACGTTTTTAACGTCAGCTGGTATGCTCCTCATAAGAGAAGAGTAGCATAAGAACGTCATTTGTATATTATACATGGAGTTGATTTGTTCCCTTCTGTATAGTAAGCCCGTCTCTTTGCAAAACAAGTCCGCTATGAACCGCAGCCCTTTTCTGTCCCAATCTCTCACAAAGGTCTTTTTGTACTTAGTGTTGTCCGAAAACCATATCTTATCGGAAAGAATTTCGTCTCCATCTGGTATGTAGGCGGCAGAAAAATTTGCCCATTCTCTTACTACGTCTTTCCAAAAGTTGTTCCTCGTCCTTTTTTCTAGTTCTTTTAGCTTTGTTGATCCGAAGCATACGAGATTTTCTATTGGGGGTAGTTTTAGTTTAGCAATGTTTGCCCATGTCACCTGACTGTCGGCACAGTAGAGCCTTTTTACCCAGGTTGACTTCAGGCTGGACAAAAATGATCTAACGTCGATCATCTTTAGTCCCCCGCACTCGTAATTTTGCACAAGCCACGACCTTTTGATTTTATCTGGTCCATTATTCCAAACAAAGCGAAAAAGGATACTGTTAATTTTTCTTAGAACCTCGTCGCTGGGGTTAGGTAAGGCTGTTAGCACATGCACGAGTTTTGCAACCAACAATGACTTTACAACAGTTATTTTCCCAATTAATGTTAGGTTTCTTCTGTTCCATTGGGCTATTTCTTTACTTATCTTTGGTAGAATCGTTTCCACATTAATTGATGAAATATTTTGATTTGAATTGCTGAACAGTATACCAAGCACCTTAAGTTGGCTCACGGTGCTCAGTCCGAGATTAACTATAGCACTTGAGTCAACCTCACCAACTGGTAGGCATTTCGTTTTTTGCACGTTTATTTTCAAACCGCTCACTCTCGTGAACTCATTTAGCTCATGCAACGCACCTTCTAATGAGTTCGAATCCGGACTTGAGCAGACTATAAGGTCATCCGCATACTGAGAGATTCTTACCTCAAGACTGCCTATACGAATTCCTTCAAAGCGCGTGGAACATTTTAACTGATTTGCGAGGGGCTCCATTATTAAGTCAAACAAATAACCAGAAATTGGGTCACCTTGACGGATACCCCTACTCATAGCTATTTTTGACCCGAGGCTTCCTTCTAGTACTATCCGCGAATTCAGGTCTGGATTTAAATAGTGAACACTTATTAATTTCCGGAAGTATTGGCCGAAGTTGTACTTTTTTAAGGCCTCAGTCAAAAACTCCCAATCTACTGTATCGAATGCCGATTCAAAATCTACTGCCATGATGATGCCAGCATCTTTTGTGCTGTTTAAATGTTCAATAACATCGTACAATAAACGAGTATTTTCACCTATGAACCTGCCAGGTATATACGCTGTTTGGGTGGGCGAAACTATTGTGTGAATAACCGTTTTTAATCTGTTCGTAATTGCAGCTGAAATTATCTTGAAGTCAACGTTGAGGAGCGATATCGGTCTCCAACCTTTTGGAGAGTCTGGGGCGACGCCGGGCTTGGGAATGAGAGTTACAATGCTTTCATTATGAGTAACCAAATTTTTATTCTCTTGTAATCTTTCTAACCAAGCTCTGTACAGAAAGCAACCAATATATGACCAGAAATGTTTGAAGAAGTCGGCCGTAAAGCCGTTTGATCCTGGTGTTTTACCACTCTTCATACTTTTTAGGGCTAACTGCAGTTCATTAAAGGATATTGGTTCGTCTAACGCACGACTTTGCTCGTTTGAAAGCTTACATGTTATGTTGTTTTGTAAGTATTCATTAGGATTGGCATTGTTACTGTTCTTACTGTACTTATTTCTCAAGTTATCTGAAAAATATTTGAGTATCATTTCTTTATCAGTGATAACACCGTCGTTCGTTTTAAGAGCATTAATTGTTTTTCTCGTTGAATTTCTCTTTTCGAGTGACAAAAAGTATTTCGAGCATGTTTCGCCTTCTTCATGCCAGTTAACCCTGGATCTAGTAATGTGGCCCTGAATTTTTGGTTTACGCAGTTCTTCCAGAACCTTTTGTTTATCTTCTAAACGTTTAAGATTTTCTGGGTTCGGATAATCGTTTAGCGATTTTCGGATTGACATTATTTCATTGCAGATTTTCGTTTCCTTTTCTCTGTATTTTCGAGCCCTTTGCTTTGAATATTTCACAGTTTCCCCGCGAATTAGCATAAGTAACGTTTCATAAAAAAGATTATCATTTATTGTAAACTGAATGAATTCGAAGTTAACTGTATCAGACATGTATTTTTCCGAATAGACCGGTATTGCATACTGAGCAATTACATTCACTATTAGATCTTTGACGATTTTGTCATACGAAGCATCCGCAATCAGAGAGTCGTTAAACTTCCACAAGCCCGGGCCTCTTCTCCTTTGCGGAACATTTATGTGTAAGGTAATCATACTGTGGTCTGAACGATAGCCAGCGAGCATGGAACTCGAGACTGCAATATTTCTGAGGTGGTCGCTAATAAAAGCATTTTGATTTGATTCAAGCATCAGTACCTAGTCAGTACTCATTTATTAGTATAATCAGTGTTATTATATGAAGGCATCATCTATATTTTGATAAAGTAGCAGATTTATGGAGTGTCTTGTGTGCTACTCTTATTTTCCACCCTCTACCCCTCTGGGCTCTGCTCATTCAGTGCAGTATACAGGTTTTGTTTGTTCATTACTTCATTCTACTACTGTTTTGCAGGAGTTGTTTTCTGGCAAAGTGATTGCTGTCCGCTGTGCATCCACTGAAGCCAGTGCCAAGGAATGGCTCCGCCTGTTTGAAGAAAAAACCAAAGCATCTTTTTCTGTCATGACCACTGGGTCAGCAAGGAGTATGAATCCCTGGGTTCTTTGTTATGTATGTATGCATTAGTCTGATTATTTGACACTGTAGTAAACAGTTGCTATAACTTTACTCTAATGTTGCTGGAAATCTATTAACCCGCGCCCTACCGGGGGTGTTTGAATACCCCCATGGTTTTTCGTGGATATTTCAAAATAGCCTCGTGAAGCATGTTCACATGCTGTGAAAATTGCAGACCGAGGTCTTTCAAGGTCAGGACACTGGGTCACGTCAAGTGAACTCACCTCAGGGGGTCAGAAACAGTTCCAATGCTTGCAGTGGATGGATCACTTTGAAACTTTCAGTAATGTATAAAGGCAGCAGTATGCATCAAATGTATAACACAATTTTTTATATCGGTGACCTAATGTGAGATCAATTTTGTGACTACGGAAAAAAATGAAAGGCGCGTATTTGGACAAACATCATCCTAAACACTCGATAACACCGAGGCACAAGTTAAATATGACACTCCTTATCGGAAAATGACACCCGTGACCCCTGCTTGTGTGCTTTAGTCATCTCAGGTGACAATGGGTACCTATGCGACAGTTTTTCGCTAATAACGTTTGATAGAGGCATGCTGGAGTGAAAAAACATTTTCAATTTGTTCAGCTTGACAATATGGATCGGCTGACGTGCAGCACAGCCTTTTCCGGCCAGGATCTTGAGGTGGGGTCAGATTTTTAACTTGACCTTTCAAGGTCAAAACATACTTTATTCAACGCGTCTTGACGAGAGGAAGACGATGCCGGTAAAAGTAAGCTTGTGCGAGTTCTAAGAGAAAAGTTATTGCGGAAAACGGTTTCCGCAAAAAATCGTCTTTTTTGGCAGTTGTTTCCACCTGCAGGCCAAGCTGTTGACCTTAGGTCAAATCTTAGAAAGTATTTAAAAAGAGCGCTAATAGGGCTATCAAATATGCTTTTCTGGGGCGCTGTAGCTCCATTCGTTTCCGAGTTATGCGCCGGCTTGTTGAAAATTATCGAAATTTGGCCTTGATGACCTCTGGTCACTTGACCTTTGACCTGACCTAAAAGGAGATTGGAGCCATGTCATCACTATTTTTGACGCTCTTTCGAACGCCCCCTACCGCGTGTCGCTATGTGACCCAGGAGCTGAGTTAAAAGGAGGCGGTGTTCAACCCCCCCCCCCCCCCAGCAGGGCGGGAGCCCCAGCGGGGCGGGGGCGCGGGTTAACCCGCGCCCCGTAGGGCTACCGGCGGACCCTACCATCCGTGGGGGGGGGGGGCCCGTTTCGGCCCCCCCTAAGATCTCGGAAAGTTACTGGCCGATTTTCAAAATTCAAACGGCGTTCGATAGCCCCACCCGGGAACTACCTTGTGACCAAATTTCATTGACCTAGGTCAAACCGATGACGTCACAGGTCAGGTCAAAGGTCAGATTTTCACCGTTCACAGGCATTTCAAGAAATGTGTTGTGAAATCGAGGTAAATTGGTAATTTATTGAAAACCATCGATGTTACATTGTTCGTCACACACATACTTTGCTATCTGAGGTCACTGATACCAGGTCAGGTAACAGCGAGGTCAGGTCACGGGGGGTCACAATATGAAAGTGTCGTGTGATGCATGTTTTATGGTCCATTTTACATGACAAATGCGATTATGTGGGTTAGGCAGTCTTTGGGGCCAGCCTAGGTCACGTTTTGGTGAAGGTCAGGTCAAATTAGGTCAAATTTCAAAGTTGATATTTTTGCATAAAACGGGTATCCATTCGATGCAGCTCGTCACGGGGAGGCTAATGTTGGTCTTTGTTTTGCTCTACGAGGTCTAGAATTGCCAAAAATTTAGTTTGAAATTTTGACGTCATCATTTTTGAACAGTTTTTTTCGCTATAACTTGGCCAAAAACGAGGTATCGATCTGAAATTTGGTATGTTGATAGAAGACGATAGGTACTATCACATATATTCCGGTTTTTTTCGAAACTCAAACTTTTTGGATTTTTTGGCTAATATATCCAAAAAAAATGTTTTTTTTATTTTTGGGGTCAAAACTCAAAAATTTCAAAAAACCGAGATAGCAGTTTTGTAGCCCTGTCAATTCTACACCTTTTATGTTTCGATCATCTTTCTGTATCTTCAAAGCTGTAGGCCTGACAGGTCTTCTCGCGAAGGTCTTTTTTCGGTCGAAAATGACAGAACATGACGTCATTCTGACGTCATTTGTGGCCAACCTGTCATAGCCTCTGGAAAAATTTTTGGTCACAATGTGTAAAATTGATGCCCGGAGGGGTCCTGAAAGTTTGGTGGCGATATCTCCAGCCGTTTAGGAGATATCGACCGAAAAGGACAGGGGGGGGGGGGGGGCGTTTCGGCCCTCCTACGGGGCGCGGGTTAATTAAATCACAGACTTCGTTGTTTCTGTTTATTATAAATTTACATCAGAAAGGGTGCAAAAAGGATATAGTCACAACCTGTTGCCAGCAGTTCAGCTATTATATGTACAGTGCATTTTTTTTTTTTAACTTTGAAAGTCAAATAGCAAATTCGGCATTTTGCTGTTGGCATCTTTCCTCATACTCTGTGCATTGTGCATTGTTTCATCATTACGGAGCGAGCGAAGCGAGCGTAGTCTTTCCTTAGATTAACGGAAATTTCTGAGTATGAGCGGCCGGCCGGCCGGCCGGCCGTGGTCACGCTTTTGCGAGGCTTATATCTCAGCAACCACTTGACCGATTTACACGCGGTAATTTTTTTAGGGTAGCTTAATTCCTTCTACCAAGTATTGGACTATTCCCGATGCATGTGGGTGACCCCTTATGCACGTGCCACGTGCAAAACGAAGAGGTGTCAGTTTTGTAATTGTTGCAATATCTCGGTAACTACTAAGCCGATTGCGCTGAAAGTTGGCATGTAGGTAGGCACCCACTAGGCACTGCATATACATGTGCCAGAGTTGGGGTGCTGCTGCACGTGCGCACGTGCAGGGGTCGTTTCCAGATCTCGGGAACGGCTGGACCGATTGCGCTCAAATTTGGTACACGGTTAGGGACCGGTTAGTAGGGTGCCGTGCACAAGTCAGTTGGGACCCATTTTGCACGTGCGCACGTGCAGGGTGCCGCTTCCAGATCTCGAGAACGGCTGGGCCGATTGTGCCCAAATTTGGCACATCGCTAGAGACCAGTTAGTAGGGTGCCGTGCACAAGTCAGTTGGAGGTACCCCTCGCAATTTCGCACGTGCAAGGCCCACCCTCTCGCTCGCTCCGTTAGTCGCCCCAAAAGGCGTTATACTGGTAATATGTTTGCATTGTTTTGGCAGAAGCGGCTCGTGTGCCAACACTATGCTCGGCAAAAGCCTGGCAAGACTTGTAAAGCTTCGCCACGTGACACCGGATGCCCCGTCACCCTCGATATACGCGTACGCAAAGTGACCTTCCAGAAAAATGCCAAAAGCAGGTCAGTGCTCAGGAGTTGTTGATTTAAAATAACTTTTTGGGGAGTTGGACTTGATTGGTTAAAATACATTGGTGATCTATAGGTAAGTGAAACAATGCTGTTTGTAAGCATGGTGAAGGCCAAGTTATGTACTGTAGGTATTTAGAGCTATAAGGTATTTTAGTGTTTGGCAGGATCCCATGAAAAATGTAGAGACCCTAGTTTTTCATGCCGCACTAGGAGCAAATTCATTGACGCAATCAATGTTTCTCAGCATTCGGCTTTGCCGCCGTGTCATTTATTTCACGATCACCTCGGATCATGTGATTTAATGACGTTTTAACCGGCTGCAAAGGGTATGACTGGTGTATGACTAGCATGCCGTAAATACATAAGTGTATTTTGAACCGAAACGCGTGACTTGATTTGATAACATATGCCCACCAAAAAGTTAAATTGAGCTTATTTTATTTTGGCGTATTAGGCTGGCAGTAGCTGCAGCACGTTGAGTGGTAATTCGATATAGCGATTAGTGAATAATTCATACATAGATGATGTGGGAGGTATAATAGATTCCTGTCATTTTGTCTTGTAGTAGTGCCCTATTTTTGTTCCCATTTGGTGTGTGCCAAATAAAATAGAGTCTCGAAATCGTGCTTCCATGCAATAGCAAGGCGGCATTTGCTCTCTTTTTGGCAGGTCCAAGAAGCCTGACGCGGGCTATGCGCTTCAAGTGAAGGCTCGGGGCCAACACAACCACCCGCTGGAGACGGCGACGGTCCTTAAGTTCCGTCGGGTGAGCGAGCGCACGAGGGAGCGGATCGTGGAGCTGTTTCGGCACCACCACTCGCCGGCGACGGCGCTCCGAACGCTGAAGCTGCAGCTGCAGGCGGAGTACGGCGAGCGGTACCCGCTGATAGCGGCCGACCGCGGCATCCTGCCCGATACAAACTACTTCTACAAGTGAGCTATGTTAATCTAATGGTAGCTCCAGCATCGCGTCACTGCTTGGATGCCAGATATTCCTTTCTTGAAGATATGAAAAGAATAAATTTAAGTTATTCTGACGTAGGTACCCATTACAGTGTCTTGACGTGAGCCTCGGAGTTGGGGTGATCATACGCAATGAGACGTTGAGTCACGTAATTGATAGGACGTATTGTGTCATTTTTTTATTGCTATGCGCACTAAACTCGCTTTCCTCGACTGCTGTCTGGCGTGGCCAAAGTTTTATAGAGCGTGGTAGACGCTATGTTTATTTTGTTTTAATGCAAGTTAACAGCTGTATGATAAATAATCGATCTTCGATGATCAAGATAAATCATGTTTACCACTATTGGAGGAGTAACTGCTCGTTCTACGAATTCGGTGCGCTAAGTACTTGGTGCTTGATAGTTTGTAATTGTGACGCCAGTGGTTGCTGGATTCACATGAATGCAATAGTTGGGACGTCCCGGAAAATGAGGCATTTTTTCTTACAAATATCAAACTAGCATATCATTTTTTCTTCGTTCAGACTCCACAAGAAGTTCTTGGCTTCGGAGTGCGGCGAGCAGCGGACCGCGGGCAGTATTGACCAGCAGCCGACCGCGGGCAGTGTCAACCAGCAGCCGTCCGCGGGCAGTGTTGACCAGCAGCCGTCCGCGGACAGTATTGTCAACCAGCAGCCGCCCGCGGGGAGTGTCGACCAGCAGCCGTCCGCGGGGAGTGTTGACCAGCAGCCGTCCGCGGCAGTGTTGACCAGCAGCCGTCCGCGGGCAGTGTTGACCAGCAGCCGTCGGCGGTGCCTGACGGTGGCGACGACACGGCCTACCACGACGGCGACGACGGCGAGATGGAGGAGACGGATGGAGACGTGGAACCGAGCGCCAGCCTGTCTGGCCCGGACGACCACCTCCAGACCATGCGAGACGAGATAAAAGCTCGGCTGGACTCCTTCACACGCCGAGTGCTGAAATCAGCTGTAACTTCAGATGAGGTGGAAGACTGGCACCGTGCTGTCGTAGCTTTTGACACCAAGTTCAGCAAGATGTCAAAGGCTGCGCGGAAGTTGGCCTTCTACAACTTCGGTGCGGCACCCGGGGGACGGTCGGGCACCAGGACCGGCAGGAAGCCGACCAGCACCGCCGGGCGCACCTCCGCGACCGAACCCGAGTGTGTCCCGGCCGGCCAGTGGGCAGCGGTGAACACCAGTACACCGGCACAGCGGGTAGTCGCCGAGCCACAGAGTCTCAGCACCGTGTGGATCCAAATCGCCGACTTTGAAACGGTCAGTGGAAAATCCTGGCATAGTCATTTTCTGTATCTGCATCATTGTAAGCATAACGATATAAAGCTGGTTTGTAATTTCGTAAAGATGAGATATAGCTACCGTACTGAAGCCAGCCTTTTGAAACTTTCTTGAAAAAAGGCTCGGTAAACTGGGTAAAACGAGTACTAAAGGAGTCCTTTGTGCCCCCTTCCCTCCAGCACACACAAACTCGCGCCATGAATGCACGCTCATGACTACTTATATTTGTTGATTGCGTGATGGATATGTCGTCATATTCTGTCACCTACCCTGTACATTGGCGTGCTGAACACCCCCGGGATGATACTTCTGGAGACGCTCTCAGTATTACCTTTGCCCTTTGTGTATGCTGCAGATGGAGCAGTAACCGTGGTGTCGGGCTGACGATCGACTCTCGGTCGGCGGTGGCGGGCTCACCGGCTGGCCGCTGTGTCAGCAGGGCGACCTGCTGGTGACGGAGGCGCCCGGCGGCTACCCGGTGCTGCTGCGCGACCACGACGCGCCGGCGGGGCGGGACCCGGTGCGCCGCTGGAGCCTGGCCTGCTCCGACCTGGAGCGCTCGGTGGCCGTGTGGAGGAGCGCGCCGCCGGCCGGGCACTGCTCTCGTTCGGCGGCGACCAGGCCGACTGGAGCTGGTGGGGAGCGCCGCGCCTCTGGACCCGGCCGCCGCCTTCGGGCGGAGCGCGTTCGCCGAACGGACCGCAGAGCTCACCGGCGCTGAGGCACGGGTGCGTGTCCAGTGAGGTACCATGCTCACGCCGCAGGCCACCATGGGAGACGCCTGGTAAGGCGGACGTCAGCCGCGGGCGTAAGTGGTTGAAATGAAGTTCAGTGAAGCAGTTGTGCCTTCTATAAATCAGGACTAGAGCTCCGCGTGCTTTCAAGTTGTTTTTTTTTTCTAGCGTTTCAGACAGTTTTTAGGAACGAAACCGCCCTAGTTCTCGTGAATTGAATAAGTGAAGCACAATTCACCTGGTTGGGTTTGGGTACGTTGTTGTCTGCGTTGGCACGAGTGCCTTTTCCCGCTGGTTGCCAGGTTATGCTGCCGATCTAGTGTTGTGTTATTTATTGTCAAGATGTTCCAGTGCAAAGCGACAGGCCACGAGCAGCAGTAAGTGACTCGAGTCCGTTGACGCGAGTGGTCCAAGTGGTAGTCGTATGGCTGATCCAAGCTTCATTGAAGACGCAGATGCCCGACAGACCTGAGAGTACGTCTCACCGCGCCGACCTAACTGGTGGTCCTTAAGAAATGGGAGTTGGGAACATGTTTCCGTGTTGCGTTGTCATATTGATGAAGCTTAGGCTTGTATGTGTAAAATATCCTCCACGAGTCAGTAATGTAGCTCAATGGCTTTACGAAATTTGATGGAACATTCGGTCACACCGGCTGTCCCCACGGATCCGTGCTTCATCCGACCACCATCAGCCGCCTTTCAGGGATAAGAGGATAGGGTGGCAGGCATCCTCCCAGCCGAGACCCGTCAATAGGAATCCCTGGGAAGAGGGAGTGCGGAGCTGTAGCCCGCTGACCCGTGCGGCACCGGAGAGGACAGACCGACGATGGGAGACCGCAACCCCGGGGGCACAGGGACAGCGGGAGGGGCGGAGTGCCAGGGCGCGGGTCAACTGAGACACGGGACACACCGGGTACCTAAGGGGTGACATCGTACCTGGTGAAAGGTTCTACTGCCGCTTTATTTCGTGGCCTCCCAAAAGCGCAGGCAGGTATCTTACATTTGCATCGACTCTTTACTGGTGTAAAATCAATGTATTAATTCTACATTAGTATCATAAGCATTTTTTTCCGGCGGAGCACACCGCCAGACGCAACTGTAGCGCTTCAAAGCAGAGGAGCACACTCGACAAACGCCGCACACATCACTGCGCCGACAGCGCCCCTGGCGGCCACTGCTCGAAGCCACACACGGCAAGACGGCAACACCGGTCACCAGCAACAAACAGTTCGGGGCGCCCGACAGACTATTTCTCAGTCACTTGCCGAAGCCCGGTGTTAGCATCCGACGCAAAACAACACTCAGCGAGTACACGCAGCACGAGGTGACACGTGGGGGACGCGGCGGCACTTGTAGACACGCGGCGGCCCGTGGGGGACGCGGCGGCACGTGTAGACACGTAGCGGCCGTGAGGCACGTGGCAGCACGTGTACACGCAGCGGCCCGTGGGGCACGTGGCAGCACGTGTACACGCGGCGGCCCGTGGGGGACGCGGCGGCGGCACGTGGCCGGCTGGCTGGCAGTGGAGGCTGCTCCGATCGGCGCGGCGGGGCGACTCGCCGGCCGTTTGGCACTGGGTGTAGAGTATCACAGGCGGACTGAAGGCCGCTGTCCGGACACACGGCGCCGCCTAGACGGTCCGGCGGCCCGGCCTGCCGAGACGGAGACCCGCCAGGTCAGAGAGGGCGGGCAGACTACCAGCCCGGTGTGTTCAAGACACGCTGACCTCTCGGTATCACACAGACCCTTCCTTGATCATTTCCTGGAAATATTAACTTTTCGCTTACTTTACTTGCTGCAGATTAAAGAAACAACCCTTCACATCAAACTCAAATGTTGGAGCAGTGGCTATCACGATCCTTTCCCACGCCCTAACCCATCCTATTCTGACTTCAATCCTCTCTCCCTCCCTCACCCGTCATACTCTAGTCCTCTCCCCTCTCCCTCCAGTCCTCTCTCCCTCTCCCTCCTCCCCCGTCCTCTCCCATCTCACCCGTCATCCTCCAGTCCTCTCTCCCTCCTCACCCGTTCTCTGGGCTGATGACGTCCTTCTCTCACCCGTCATCCTGCAGTCCGATGACGCGCCGATGTCGCCTGCTCTGCTGGCGGCGGCTCTGGTGGTGATCGCGGCGCAGGCGGCGCAGCACGCGCCTCACGCGGCTCAGCGAGCGGTGCATACGCTCCATCATCTCCTCCAGACCCTGGATTCGCTCCTCGGTCACATCCTCGGCGTGGTAATGTCCGTCGGAGGAGGCAGAGCGGCGGGGGTGGGGTAGGGGCGGGTTTCTCTCCCGACTCCTGCTCCGCCTCCGGCTCCGGAGAGAGGTGGTTGTGCGCCGAGAGCAGGACAGAGCGGCGAGAGCGCCCCGGGCGAGCGCCGTCCCTCAC